AGTAATAAGGTATGCTGAAGACCCTGTCACTGAACTTGTGTTAAATGCCACATATTGCAGAAGAAAATTCTGCACAGGGGCCAAATATCAAGCTGCAAATGATCAGCAACTCAGTTAACCAGGCACTTGCTTTGTCTGCAAGAGGTACTTACAAAAGCAATAGGGAGGAAGCAAAAAGAATTTTGAGGGCAGATTTAGGGCCCTGGGTTATTCCAGAATACTCTTGTAGGAAAGCTGGAATGTAAGACAAATCTGCTCTGTTGAGGTTTTTTTTTTTTTTTTTTTTTTAACTTTTCAGATCCTTTTCCTCTCCTTTACTCCTTCCCCAACAGCACTGCTGCTAGAAAAGCTCAACAACCATGCATACCTGGCCTATGTACTTGGTCTAAACTTGACGCGGTGCTTGATCACCTATTCTTGACGAGGTGACTGATTACCTATTCTCCATTCTCCTCCTTACTTCTGTCAAGAACTATGAAGGGTCTGTATCTTAGTCCATTTTTCTGCTGCTATAATGGAATACCACAGACAAGGTAATTTATTTATTTATTTATTTATTTTTGAGACAGAGTCTTGCTCTGTTGCCCAGGCTAGAGTGCCATGGTGTCAGCCTATCTCAGAGCAACCTCAAACTCCTGGGCTCAAGCAATCCTCCTGCCTCAGCCTCCCGAGTAGCTGGAACTACAGACATGTGCCACCACACCTGGCTAATCTCTACTATTTTTAGTAGAGATGAGGTCTCGCTCTTGCTCAGGCTGGTCTGGAACTACTGACCTCAAGTGTTTCTCCTGCCTCAGCCTCCCAGAGAGCTAAGATTACAGGCGTGAACCACCATGCCTGGCCAAACAAGGTAATTTATAAAAAACAAAGGTTTATTTGGTTCGTGGTTCTGGAGACTGGGAAGTCTAAGAGCATGACACTAGAATTTCCAATGGTGAAAGCCATCACCTGACAAGCAAGCATGTGAGACAGAGAGAGAGAAAGTAGGACCAAACTTATGCTTTTTATCCCTGCAATAACTAACTCATTCCTGAGATAATCACATTAATCCATTCATGAGGGCTCTTAATCACCTCTTCCAAATATCTTTATGTTGGCAATTTAATTTCAACATGAGTTTTGGAGGGGACATTCAACCCATAGCAGTCTGAGATTTTACCCTGCTGGAAAGCTAACAAATTAGTCAGCCACACTTCCATGAATGCAATGCTGGCAGACGACATGAGACTCCTGGGTGAGAGGCAAAGGACTTTATTACTCACAACGTAATATGTGGCATGAATTTCATGTTTGCATCTGTCCCTCTTGTCCCCTAAGTCACACAGGGGTGATGTGGGCAGCCCAGCTCTATGCTGTGTACGCAGTGGGTTTTATCACAGCTGAGGACCTCCAAGATAAGGAAACCCCAATCCTTTAAAAAAGGTTGTAAGCAAATTTGTCCAACTTTTGCCCCAGAGGGAGTCATTACTTTTATTACTATAGACAGCAAATAAATCTGTCTGCTTCCCTGATAGAGACACTATCTACCTTCCAAGGCTACTTGCTACACAATATCCTTGAAAGGATAGTCTGGAACAACACCTTTGCTCAGTGCCTTTGCTCAAATGATGTGCAGAAACATGAGAGACCCATTGTCTGCCAACGGTTCCTATTACAGGCACCCAGAATTATTATTACAGATTTTCTGCTGTATATTCAAATATCTGGCCTCTTTCCTGCCACTTCCCTATTCAGCATGAGATCCTGTCTCTTTACTGGCTTTTCACAAAACCCCTCATCCAATTAATCTTCACTTTTTCTGGGCTCAGTGGATATATTCTCCACCTTTTCTTCTTGCCTTCATGGGTGGTGTACATCCTCGGTATCCTTTGTCAGTGTACCTGCTGTATACCAGGACATGTGCAGTGCCTGAGATAAGGAGAGGGATAAACCTCAATCTTGTTCTGGTGGAGCTGAGGAGGAAAACGGTCACACAATTTTATCATTATGACCTAGTGCAGCAAGTGCTGTGAACCAATTATGCACAAGAGATATTGGCAAAAACCTAATTTAGATGGGGGGTCAGGGAAGCCTTCCAGGAAATACCCACGTTGAATTTTAAAGAATGAATAGAGGTTGAATAGGTTAAAGGGGATAGGAGAGAAAGACAATTTGAGGCAGAGGGAACATCTTGAAGGAAGGAAAATGTGTAGGAGTATGTGTGTGGGGGGGGAGTGCTAATACAAGCAGTTTCAATGTTGCTGGAGCAAAACTGTGAGGTTGCAAATTAAGGGAGAGCTTCCTGGAGGATAGACTGCAAAGGGTCTTGAGCCATGGGTTTTCCATAATGGCTGTACTAATTTATATTCCCAATAGTGTATAATGGTTCCTTTTTCTCCACCTTTTCTCTGACATTTGTAATCTTTTATTTTTTTTTTTATAGCAGCCATTCTAACAGGTGTGAGGTGGTAACTTATTGTGGTTTTTTTACATTTCCCTGAGGATTAGTGACGTTGAATGTTTTTTCATATACCTGTTGGCCATTTGTATGTCTTCTTTTGAGAAATGTCTATTCAGGTCTTTTGTTTATTTTTCAATTAGGTTATTTGTTTTCTTGCTATCAGTACAATTTATTGAAAAGGCTATTTTTCATTCAGTGAATTCCTTTTTCTACCTTTGTCAAAAATCAGCTGGGCGTGCTTAGCTGGGTCAATTTTGGGGGTTCTTTGTTCCATTGATCTATGTGCTTATCCCTGCACCTGTATCACACTGTCTTGGTTATTTTATAGCTATACAGTAAGCCTTAATATCAGGTAGAGTGATTCATCCTACCTTATTTCTCTTTTTTCAGAATAGTTTTAGCTAACCTAAGGACTGTACCTTTGCATATAAATTTTAGAATGAGCTTTCATATGTCTGCAAAAGACCTTGCTGAGATTTTGATAGGAATTTCAATAAAGCTATAGATGAATAGCTTGGGAGAATAAATGGATGTCATAAGTCTGTTGAATCTACAAATCCATGAACATAGCATATGTGTCCATTTAATTAGGTCTTTGACTTCTTTGATCAGCATTTTATAATTTTCAGGATACAGATCTTGTATATGTTTTATTAATTTATACCTTTGTTTCATTTTTGGAGAAAAATTATAAATAGTAATGCTATTGGTATTTGTAGATGGTAATGTTATATTAATGAGTATTCTCTAAGAGAATTCTTCCCCTAATACAAAACAGAGAAATATAGGGTTAACAATAGACCTAAAAGATATCTGATCATAGTTGATGTTTTATTTGATAATCTGCCTTCCCATCTGGAGCTAGAACCAAGGCACTGTTCTAACGAGGCTGGTGACCAATTGTAACTTTGTTATAATGGTCTTTGATTGAATATCTGAGCTAAATGACCTTAAGCTAGTTCTTCACTTCTCTGAGGTTTAATTTCCTCTGATTATAAAATAAAAATAATAATGCTTTTTCTACAAATAATGCTGAATAGATGCAATTAAACAAGATAAGCATATGTGAAAGTATCTGACACATAGTAAGTGATCAAGAAATATTTCCTTCCTTCCTTTTCTCTTTTCCTTTCCTCCCTCTCTCCATTTTCTCTCCTCCTCTTTTCTTTCCTTCTTTTCTCTTCCCTTCATTCCTTATTCCTGCTACCTGACCAGTCCATCATGGTAGGTGGGGATATTTGCCCTGGTCTGGGGAGGGTCACTAGTACAGTACAGCTTGTCTGGTTGCATTGGAGGCTCAATACCCTACACTTGGTCCGCCTCCCAGATTTCCTCCTCTTCCCCTACCATACATCATGCTGGAGGATGTAATAATTGGGATTATTAAGTAATTAAGTCTATTTCTACTATTTGAATTCTGTGCTGAGCAGTTCAGTGAATTTTCATGCATGAGGAGCCACCTTGCTGTGTTTTTCTGAGAGGAAGGCGGTCTACAGTAGTTAATCGGCATGGATGGGGAGACCTGGGAATGTCTCTAACAAGCAACTGAAGCCCCTCAAGCCTTGTTTGATTTGGATGTGGGCCTCAGCAAAATACAGAATGGTAGAGGAGCAAGCTTATAATTTAACGCAGAGACTGTCCTAAAGTTCTTGGGCCAAGCCCAGCGTAAGACCTGGATTAGAGTGGGCCAGCAGAGGCTGTCACCCTCTTGGTGGAATCCACCTTATCCCAGGGGCAGCTCTATATGGAGGCCCCAAGAAATAAGGCAAGGAGGAAGGGATTTCTCCTTTAAAATTCAAAGTCACGTAGAATCCCTCTAGAGCTGATTATCGTTTTTTTGTTCTCCTCCAATTGACAAATGCTTATCCAGGTAAATTGGAATAGCCCCTCCCCTTCTATCTCCAGGGGTAGTTATGGGCCAGAGGGGTGACTCAGGGCTGAGCTGGACCTCAGAAGCCCTTGACACTGCAGGCTGGGGGCACCTGCTACAGCATCCTAGTTGTTGTCGGATGACCAGTTCTCCCAGCTGGTCGGAAGCCTGGAGAGATTATGCCACCCTCTGTCTCTCACCCACAGGTGTCAAACCGAGATGAAAACCCTGGGTAAGAAAACAGCCAGTGCAACCCCAGCATAGTGGGATACCTCATGAGAAGAGGCAGCTCTTTATTGAAAATCTATTTTGCATTAGAAATAAAAATGCCTCTTTGGAATTATATTGGCTTAAGATACAGAGAGCCACTAGAAATAGAACTTCAAACAGCTATTGGTCTTTGCTTATGTATTTTTAATTTTTCTTCAAGGGCTGCTTGTCCCAGTGATAGTTTCTGTTCTGGAGTTCTCCCCTTCAGGTTCTTTTAGTGGAAGTCATAAGACTGATGGTATTTAGAGCAGAGGGTTAGATCAGAGGAGTAAGTTGGCCTCTGCCAGAAATGCCTGTCAAATGTCTGGTGCAACCTTTCTGAGCTCATCTCACTTGGATGTCTCTGAAGACTAATGCCGGTGCATGGTCCCTGACCACAGTGAGCTCATCGGTGCCAATCTCTTCCTCCTCTTTCTCCAGCAAGGACTGAAAATAGTTCACCATGCAGAGAAGACACTGTCTAGTTTCTGCAAGTGGCAGAAGAGCATCAATCCCAAGAGTGACCTCAACCCTGTCCATCACGATGTGGCCGTCCTTCTTACCAGGTACCCCAGAGACTATGTGGAACCCAGGGGCAGCAAGGCAGGGAGAAATGGCAGGCGAAATGTGTGCCAGGTATTCAAAATCATGAGATGCTCACTACTGTTTGCTGTTCTTGGTCATTTGTAAAGGCAGCATCCATGATTTAGTCAATTACTGACTTCCATACCAGTAGAGGGGGCAGGTTAGCAAACTTGCTAATACGACAAAGCTTTCCCTATTAATAAACTTCTTCTGTTGGCAAAATGCAGGCCTCTTTCCTATCCCAGCGATGATTTTATCTCTAAAACTGGCTTTTTCTTGCGGCTCTATATACACTCAGGAAACTCCTTTGCAGATCCTCATTAAAGACACCTGTTACTCTTAACCAGTGGGATTTCCAATCCTTTATTTTTATTTTATTTTTTTCCAATTTGGAAACACAAAATATATCTACAGAAATCAGTCCTCTTTTTTACCCATCCATGGCTGATGTTGAGGACAGGATAAGGGAACAAGTTCTCCTGAGTAGGCAGACTGGTTTGGTTACATTCCTTTTGCCCCTATGGAGATATGTGTTTGCTCTGATCATGGACAGGCCCTGTCTTGGTAGTAAGAACTATCAAATCTTCCAGGACTCACGGCTGTGGAAAACCAGTGAACTTTCCTGATCAACCCTCACTCTTCAAAGCCTGTGTTTGACATTGAGTCAATAAATATTTATTGAGCAACTAGTGTATACCAGGCATTATGTTAATCTAGACAAAAGAAGGGCTTATTAGAATGGGAGAGAGTAAGTTCTCACTGGGCAGCCTATGCAGATTCATCCAGAAGTCCAGGAATGTCTAGTAGAGGAAGCCCCGTGGCCCAGCCCTTCAGCCCCAAAGAACCTCATGCACTGAAAGGCCCTGGGTGTATATGTGTCCCTGTGGAGGATAGGCTGCTCCCGAACATTTTGGGCCTGTCATCTGTCCCTTTGAGAGGATCGTCCCAGCACATAGGATGCCTACAGGGGTGAGAATGAGCCCCCACCCTATCCAAATGTTGCTTGCTCTGACCTAAATCTCCAACCCCAGAATCACTCTTTTCAGTGAAAGTATTAAATGCAAATGTGTTCCAAGGGAAGTTGTTGACATAACCTATAGTAGTATGTTCATTAGGATCTGTGACACCTTGGGTTGATCAGTGGCTCCCCTGGAGAATAGGTTGGTGTAGGAGTGGACTGTAAGCACGGGGGATCTGGGGGGATAGCCGACAGCCTGGGGACTGAAGACCTGGGCAAGAGGCCAGGTGCAGGGTTCAGTGCCAGCAAGAACTTCTGAAGGGAAGCTGTGTCTCAGGAAGTCTTTCTGCCCCCGAGAGCGGAAGCAGATGCCCCTCTCATTCTCATGTGAAGAAGTGAGTGAGTTAATGATAGCTGCATGTGTGAAATGTTTGATCTGGGCCAGGCTCTGTGCTGTGTGTACTGGAACAGTCATTGCTCCATTTACTCTCCACAGCCACACTGGTAGCTGAATGCTATTAATGACTCATATTTTACATATAGGGAAACTGAGACCTGGGTATGTCTCTTACTCAAAATCTTGTTTTCGTTAATGGGTACAGCTGGGACTTAAGTCCAGGTAGTTGGACCCCAAGAGCCATCCTCTTAATTATTACCCAATGTGGATGTGAAGGACCTGCCCTCCTTTTTTCTTATTATGATCACTTTTCTTCCTTAGGACAGGAGTCTGGTTGCACGGAAGTGTGATGAACCTTACCAGCTCCTAGACAGTGGAGAGCTTTTCAAGTTCTAAAGCAGGATTTCTCACCCTCAGCACTGTTGGCATTTGGGGCTGGATGCTCTTTTGTCGTGGGGGCTGTCCTGTCCTGTGCACTGTAGGATATTTAGCAACATATCTGGCCTCTCCCTGTGAGATGCCAGTAGCACCCTCCTCCAAGTTCTGACAACCAAAACTGTCTCTAGACATTGCCAAATGTCCCCTAGGAGGGGGATAGAGAGCAAAATCACCTGCCCCCATCAAAAACCACTGCTCTGAAAACATAGGTAGGATCAGGGAGGGAAGGAGGTGTGAGACAGAGCTTTGCCTCTGAGGGACTGTCCTGAGACCCACATTAACAGAGGTCTTTATAGAGCTGCATTGAGTAGAAAGTGGATTTGGCTTGAAACACACCCCGAGTGTGTTTCTCATGTGCAGCTAGTGGCTGCATGCCAAGACATGGTTTCTCTTCTGCATGGTGGAGATGCAGCTAATCTGCTGAAAGCTCTAGCTTCTTGTCTGCAAGAACCATATTCCTATGATTCTTTTGTTACCCTTTTTTTTCCCTCTTTAGTGCTGGACACTTAGTAGGCATTCTATAAACGATTATTTAATGGACCTGACTCCTGCCATGTCAAAATGAGAAAGTCAGTGGACTAGCAATGAGCACCTTTCATCCTTTCCCTACAGCTCCATGTGGACTTTTTTGAATGAAATTGTAACAAATTCATTTGTTACCCCTGCTGCAGGGGTGGAAAAACATTTGATTGGTTCTCCTGCAGACCCAGAAATTATTTAAATGATTGAACTGTATGATCTAGCTCTCCAAGCCTGAACCACCCAGCAGCTGCTGCCCTTAGTAAGAGTGGGGGCTCACATCTGTGGCACATGAGCTGAGACAGCAGCTACTGCTTCCTATCCCACTGTCCCAGCCATTGCCACCTGGAGAATCGAAAATGCACACAAGTTCTCAAAGCCTGGACCTTTTCCATGGCCCAATGGATGCAAAAAGCAGGAGACCATTTGTTGCTAGAAATGGTGCCCACACAAACCCCATGAGATGCAGGTTTGCAATTAACTAAAGCTCGGAACCTCATGGGCATTTATGTTAGTCATTCTTGGCAAAGAGCTCTTCTGTACCAAAGAAAATCAAATGACTAATTAATGACTCTTTCAAAACTCTTGTCAGTGATCAAAATAATGTCTACCAGAATGTGGGAGCATGATTTTGTATTTAAAAACTGTAACTAGCATTTTCTGAGATCCTCATATATTTCCTTTCTTTTTCCAGGGTCAGGCAACACTGAATTCCTGGTGAAAAGAGGAAGCATCTCACCTGTGTGTGTGTGTGTGTGTGTGTGTGTGTGTGTGTGTGTGTGTGTGTGTGTTTGTTTGCATATACGCATGCATCCTCTCATATGCTATGTTGTTAGTGTCATGGGGCTCGATAGACAATCGATTTGATCTCTGGATAGGTTGATGGCACCAATTGCCTTTTATATGAATGAGAAAAAGTTCTCAGATGTGTTTTGAGGACAGACCTCAGAAAGACCAAAGAGGGGTTTCATATTTAAAAAACCCAAGTCACTGCTGATTGTCCCCACCCTGTTTAAAAGTTCAAATTAACTTTAATTTTCAATAAAATCTTTTGATGTTGGCCAAATCATAGAATTTGGCCACCCGAAATCCAGAGCAAACACAGTTCAAAAAAAGACATTTGCCACATTTTCCCACATTTTGTGTTAGTTAAATTCAGTTATCAAAAGATAAAATCAGAATCATAATAGTGAATTCCATATTTCTCCCTACATGCCTAAAAAATTGTAAGTGTGATTTACAGGCCATATTCAAGGTAAATTTATACCCAGATTTTTTTTCCAGGAGGTTTTTCCAGATGTTCCTTTGGGCACCTGAGCATCTCCATTCTCTGCTTTCAGAAAAGACATCTGTGCTGGTGTCAATCGCCCCTGCGAGACCCTGGGTCTGTCTCACCTGTCAGGAATGTGCCAGCCTCACCGGAGTTGTAACATCAACGAGGACTCGGGACTCCCTCTGGCTTTCACAATTGCCCATGAGCTTGGACACAGGTAAAGGGCCGAGGAAACAGGGATCTGTTCGCCATGTTCCTGTGTCGGTATCAGCAGAGGAAACAGAGGCACCTTAAACTCGGGGTTGGGAGATTCAGGTTGCATTGTGGCTTAAGGCTCACCCTCCACTTCTTCATCTGTAAAGTGAGGGTCAAATCCTTGTGGCTTAAGGCTCACCCTCCACTTCTTCATCTGTAAAGTGAGGATCATAATCCCCCTCCACAGCCTCTGCCCTGCCCTGACCACTTGTACCTGCATACAGCACAGGACCACAGAGACCACTGCAATTCTCTGGATTAGAATGAGGGAAGCAGAGGCAAGGAGATAGGCATTAACCAGTTGTTTAATTCTGGAATGACCCCTAGTTAGTTCTTGTGAAAGGATAGTGTTAATATTACAAAAAAGTCACAGAATCTGACGTTTTTGTGCCTTTATTCCATTGTGCTTTTTGTTGTGTCATTGAATCCTTTCAACAACCTTTTGAAATCGATACGATTGTTAGACGCCTTTTAGCTATAGGTATTAAAGGAGAGCATCGAATAAATAAGAAATCAAAAACTGCTATAAACTTGGAAAGACCACACAAAGCAAACACCAGTCAACAGGATGTCCGAGTTGTTGCAAAAATGTGTGAATTTGATGAGGTGAATTCCTTGATGGCAAGTTTCCGAATGTTTGAGTGAAGGTATGTTGAGGATTCTGAACTCAGTAGGGATCAAAGGTTCCCATGCAGGAAAGAGCTTAGCTTATTTGTAACTTCATTTGTCAGTACATTTGCTAACCACAAATAAGAGAGCATCATACGAATTGGAAACTCAGAGTGGGGAGTCACATAAACCGCTGTACTGCACCCCCTGCCTGTCACGTACCCACTGGCCTGGATCTCCTCCCTAGAAAGAAGGAAGACAGCAGGGCATACTCTGACTGCACAACTAGAACAGAGGCAGAACTGAGAAGAACCCTAGAGACTAGATTATTCCAGGCCTGGCCTCTCCAGCCTGGGCTTATTAACCATTTTTCTCATAAAACATTTGAACTTTCCAAAATAATTTTACCTGCCTTACATTGCATTGAGAATTGGAGAAAATGAGTGCTTCCTCTGGCTTTTCTATAGACCCATATTATGGCCTTAGATAACTCCCTTCGCCTGTCTTCTCATCTGTAAAATGGGTAAGTTGAACTAGGCAATTTCGTAGGTACCGTGACTTATTGGATCCTCTCAAAAAAGCCCTGGAGATAAATGTGATGTATTCCAGTATCCTTAGTTGTCAAACATTCAGAGACAGAGCAGTTAAGTGACTGGCTTATAATTAAGTAATGATTGGAGATGTAGGGGTGCTAGGACAGAAAGGGCAAGAATATAGCTGTTGGCATGTTGATGATATAACCTGACAAAATGAAAGTTAAATGTAAACATTCCCAATCCTGAAATGTGCAAGGACATGGCCCCCATAGCCTCCAGTCAAGTCACTGGTGTCAACAGCAATGACTTGGCACAAGCAGCGCCAAGGGACTACAAGTGGGTCAAACTGAGAGGTGATTGCTCAAGACCTCCCAGCAATGGTGGACTAAAGCTAAGTTTAAAAGACTTAGCTTGATAAAAGACATTCTCAAATTCTCACTACTTGTGTGAAAAAAGCCAATCCCAAAAGGTACATCCTGTAAGATGCCGCTTATATATAACATTATTGAAACAAGATTGCAGAAATGGAGAACATTTTAGTGGCTACCAGGATTTAAGGTGAGAACAAGGGAGGGAAGAAAGTGGATGTAACTATAAAGTGCAACATGAAGGATGCTTGCAGTGATGAAAATGCTCTGTCTTGACTATATCCATGTCAGTATCCTACTTGTGATATTGCACCATAGTTTTGCAGATGTTACCATTGGGGGAATGTGAGTAAAACATACAATTATTTCTGTGTATCGTTTCTCACAACTGCATCTGAATTTACAATTATCTCAAAATTAAAGTTTAATTTTTAAAAAGGGCATTGGGCCATGTAGAGATGACCTAAATAAAACAGTATCTTTTAAATGAAAAAAAAAGTTTAGCGTTGCTGGTAAGTAAGAAAATGTTGAGGAAAAAAATCCGACATAAACTTGACTTTGAGTGATAAAAAAAAATACTTTAGTAAGACACAAAACCAAAAGATAGAAGAATTTAGGAGCTTCTTGAGAAGCTTTTGCTCATAACGAAAGATGCTTCTGAGGTATTTAACTCTTTTTCTTAGTTGCATAGTTCTAATCAGCTGTGGACCAAACTGAGAAACACTGGGCAGATGATTGAAAAGGCCTGAGACAGCCCAGAAAGAGGAAAATATGATAAATCAATATCCTAAGAAGACACTCATTACAGTTTAATAGCAAATGTACCCCATTGTTTCTTGGAAATTTGTTTGTTTCATCACTGATTGTATATTATGCAGGAGAGGAAATAAACTAACTTGTGATATACCCTAAGTGAATAATTTTACTTTTATTTTGAGAGAAAATTTAAAAATCCATTTGTGAGGGCCCCAGATTATATCAGCCATCTATACCTAAGGTCTCATATCACCTTTATTAGGACACTAGATGAGTTACCAAAAATGAGGATAGAATTCCAGGAGAAAATTTTAAAACCTATCTGAGACCTAAAATCCTTTCATTTTAAGTAATGAAAGTATGATGTATATGAACATGTAAAAGGCAATATCCACCCAATATCCTCCCCTTTCTGGATTGCAGGATATTTCATTTACAGAGCTTTGCTCATTTTACGTAGAAAATTGGCATTTCCTGAATGAGTTAGAAAAGATCGCATTTATGCTTTCATGGTTCTCATTCTCTGCTGCTTCCTGCACCATAAAATGACTCATAAGAAGCATGGAATGGGTGTATTCCACCTAGTGATACACTGAAACCCAGGCAGTTGCTTAACTTGCTACTTCATGTCTATAATTTGGCAAACCTACCTTAAAGGAATTGAAACAATGAAGATGAAGTAAAGTTGGCTAATCCGCAACTCAGTAAATTGTTTCAGACCACACAGGGCTCTCTAGTCCAAATGCTGTTGAGGTTCCATCTCACATGCTAGAAAGTGCCTTATTGGGTTCCGAACACCTTAGAGAAACAAGCCTCTTATCCATCATTCCCCACTGTTATTGTCCCACTGCTCCCAAGTGACAGGACTCTGTCTCCCATTCGGAGATAGTAGATACAGACCAGAGGGACATTTGTTTAGCAGTGCTGCTTTATTCTTGCATGATGGGAGTGCAGAGGGGTGATCAAGCTGGAGGGGAAAATGCTTTAATGAATCAAAAACTTTAGATGGAATGAAATGAGCTTTTGGGGAACTGATATATTTTAAGTGTAGCTTTGAAACCACCTAGTGTATAGGACCCGGCCATGTGACTTGGTGTATGAGAATATTCACAGCTTAGACCATTATTCATGTAGACTTGTAGAACCTTGCTTGCAGTTCTAGATTTTTACTAACTTGAGCAGTTGAACTTGTAGAATACTTCATGAGCTGAATAGGACTGGATTTGAAACAGCCCAGGGAAAACCTGCTCAGAAGTAAGATTTCATTGACTCACATTCTTTGTGGGTGGGTGGTGAGAACTTTGTAGATTCATTCTTTGACTCCTTGGTGAGAGTTCTATTCATGTGGAATGCAATTAGGGTTTGTAAGTAAGTCAATAATATCAGTGCAAAAAAATAAAAGAAAAATCTCTAAATTCTCCAAAGACTGTTCTCTGCAAGAGCTGCTAATGCTAATAAGAAGATTTCATTAAAGTTGGATGTGAGCTTCCCAGTCAGAAGAGTTGAATTTCACTTTGAAGAGTACAAAGCCATACAGATTTGGAAACTTGAGCCAACATCTCTAGGTTTAAGACTCCGGCAGAGAGAGTTCTTGAATCTCGGAGTGCATCCTGGGGTGATCCCGAGAATGCAGCTTACAAACAGCCACTTCTGAGTCGGCTTCTTTCCCAGGCACCCCCTTGCCATGGTGGACAGTTAAGCTTGTTAGGGCCCCTCAAGGTTGCTTCCCCAGTCAGTGCTGGAAGCGGGAGGTCAGGGGACAGACTGAAGACACATGGACGAGAACACTGAATTAGAGCACAAAGATCTGCATCTAAGACCTAGTTTTGCCACTATGAGCTGTGTGACTTTTGACAAATCTCAAAGTCTAAACTTTCTCCTCTGAGAAAGGAAAATAAGCTAGACCATGAATTAGAAAAAAAAAAACAACAATCTAAAAATTTCTCTAACTTACGAAGCCCTTATTATGTGCCAGGCACTTTGCCAAGTGGTTTTCAAATTTTATTCCATTCAGACTTCACCTTAGCACCAGGACGACTGCTCCATTTTTCATGAGAGGGAAATGAGGAAAGTTTCAGTAAATTACAGGTCATTAAGTGGCCAAGCTGGAATTCAGCTCCAGATCATCTGTCTTCAAAAACCCTGCTCTTATCCACTGAACTAGGAGGTCTCCCTAACGTGTCAGCTGTTGGAGGACTCTTGTAGCAATAGGAGAAAGAAATCCATCCCGCAAAGCTTGTGGCCTTTGACAAAGTTTCCCAGAGGCTTCGCCTTTCATGCTTTCTCCTAAATTATGATGAAAAGGGAAGAGGGAGGTTTTGTTCTGAAGTTCTGTATGCTGTGGTCAATGCAGCAGGAGAAAGCAGAGAGCTGGGGCAGGATCTGCCCTCCTGAATCCCGACTCAGAAAGCCAGACTGAGAGCTCTTAGCTCTTTCGCCAAACTGAAGTTTCTGAATGAGCCACATGGCCCCCACGGCTGCATATTTGAGGCAAAGGCATGCCTGCAGTGTTCCCTGTGCCCCTCCAACTTCAAAGTTTCCCTTTGTCACCAGTTGCTTCTATACAAAAGTGGCTCTCTGCAGGTTATTATTGCTTTGGAGAAACTGTGATTTCTCTTCCTGTTTGTTGCCTGCCTGTTGCTACTGTTGTGCTCTGTGCTTCCTTGCCAGCTTTGGCATCCAGCATGACGGGAAAGAAAACGACTGTGAGCCCGTGGGCAGGCACCCGTACATCATGTCCCGCCAGCTCCAATACGACCCCACTCCACTGACATGGTCCAAGTGCAGCAAGGAGTATATCACCCGCTTCTTAGAGTAAGTGACAGTGTGTTTCATGATGGCCTCTCTTGAGTGTCTTTAAATTGGAAGCTGCTTGGAGTTTTACACAGAGGAGCTGAGACCTGGAAAAGGCTCGGTTCCATCCCCCAGGCCATGGTGTCAGGGTGGCATCAGAAGGGGTGTATTTCACTTCTACTTTCTGACCCTGAGGTCTAGCTGGGCTCTGCTCTCCATCCACAGCTGGGTGAGCATCCTGTCCCCTCCCTGATTGCTCTTGTCTCCACGAGGCTTTTTAATGAGCTAATTGTGAATTAAGTCCTTGGAGACTGGCAGGAACAACCAGGACAGGTCAGAAGTGGTCACTCAAACCCCACCGGGGGTAGGATGATGATTTTCTAATGTTACCACTGCTCATATTTCCTTGATAACAATTAAACTTATGCTGTAGGATATGATTTGAATTTTTAAAAATTAATTCTCCCCTTGGGCCCAGAGCATTCTCTGCCTTGTACAAATAAAGTTGTTTTGAAGGGCAAATAGTAAACTAGAGGGATGGAAGTTTCTGTGGAATAAAAGCATAAAGATGAAGGAACTTATAAGCAACTGCTCTCATTTCTATTAATTTGTTTCCAGCCGAGGCTGGGGGTTCTGTCTTGATGACATACCCAAAAAGAAAGGCTTGAAGTCCAAGGTTATTGCCCCTGGAGTGATCTATGATGTCCACCACCAATGCCAGCTACAGTATGGACCCAATGCTACCTTCTGCCAGGAAGTAGAAGTAAGTGTCTTGGTGCCTCTGGTGGGTTTGTGTAGGGCTTCGGATTTCTGGAATGCTGAAGGAAGGGAAATACCTGGAAATCTGAAGACCCAGACACAGAAATGGAACCTTTATATTTGTGGTGAGATGTCTACAAGGCAGAAGAATTAAAGCTGGGATCATTATCCACCTTGACCCTGCCTCCTCGGAGTTCTGTGGAGCCTGCAATCCTTTGCAACCAGACGATGGTCGAGATAGTTTGACAGTGATTCCCAGGATTCGCCGTGATTCACACCTGCAGGCTCCTTAGCAACCGGCTTAATCCCTAAAATCTCTCCCTTTTCTGAATCTCCCATTTAGTTGAGGAATACCACCAACTCCCAAGGTAGGAATAGGATTTGTCCCCAATTCATCCTTCTCCTTTATTTTCAACATCCAAATGGTAAGTCGAGCCTTGATGTTGCGCCTTCGAAATAGTTTGTGGCTCTGGCCTGTGTTCTGCATTGCCACTGCCCCTGTCTCGGTTCAGTCTCTCCTGATCTTTCCTTGCTATTGTCATTACCCCCTACCTAGTCTCTCTCTCATCAAATTGCTGCTCAGGTTATTTTAATAAAAAACGCAAGCCTGACTATGGCTCTTCTCCACTCTTAGGGTCCCTGCTGAGCACAGGCTAGAGTCCCGACCCCTGTGTGGCATTCCTTTGTGATTTGTACCTGCATATTCTGTGAACTCATCCTTTTTAATGAAAAATTGTCAGTGTTAACACATTGATATTGGCGAGGCAAGTCTCACTGAATCCCTGCCAGACTCTATGCTATATACTAAATAGGACAAAAAAGATAAGAACTTGAAAATTAATAAGGCAAAGTCTGCGCCCTCAGGGAGCTTGGTGGAGGAGGGATGACAGACACAGATATTTCAGTACAGTGAGCTAAATACAAAAAGAGACGGAGAACCAAGAGGAGGAAGTAAGTAACTGTGCTTAGAAAGAGGAAACAAACTTAGAGAAAAAAATTGATGCAAGAATCCTCACTCTTTACTTCTAACTAGTTACCAAGTTATGTTGATTCTGCCTCCTAAATATCTCTCAAATCCATCTGTTCCTAGAAGATTGCAGTAGTTCCCCGATTGGGAGAATCTGATTGCCTTTTCTCAACTCTGATCCATTTTTCAAAATGCAAAGTGACCTTTATAAATGGAAATCCGATCGTGTTCCCCTGTGATTAAAATATTTCATGGCCTCCCTATTCCCAGCAGTAAAGTTCAAATTCTCTAATATGGCCTGAAAAGGGGCTTTAGGATTCATTGCTATCTCTCACTCTCTGGCTTTATCCCTTAGAATATTGTTTTAACCCTTCAGTCCCCAACCTGGTACTCTAATTGTATGTATGTATGTGGAACTTTGTCACTAATCTGCCATGCCTTGGAACCCCTCCTTCCTATTTTTCATCTTTTTATATCTTCACATTTTGTGTGATCTCTTTATCTTTCTCTTCTAATTCACTAGTTCTCTCTTCAGATATGTCTAATCTATTTAATCTGTCTATTGACTTTCTAACCTTATTTATTGTATTTTTCACTTATAACAATCTATTTGGTTGTTTTTACAAATTTTCTCTCATTTTTATGGTTTCTTATTCCTAATTTAGACTTCCAATAGGATCTTCTATTTCTTTAATCGTATATGGCACATTTATTTTGCAATTTATTCTGGATAATTCCAATGTCCAGAGTCTGTGGGGTTCTGTTTCTTCTATTTGGGGTTTCTTCTGACTCTCACTTATTATGCATTATTTCCTTTTGTGATTTTTGCCTTTATTGTGAGCTCTTAGTCATAAAACTTCATGTCAGGTTTTCCTTTAGGGCTTAGATGGGTGGCCCATTCTTTCAGAGAGAATTTTCACTGCCATCCCTGGGGCCATTTAAAATAAGTTAAAATAAGTTTGATGAGTTGACTGCATGAGTGAAATGGGGGATAGTGTGGGTGAAAACTTTCTGGGGTAACAAGTTAAGTTTGAACCGAGAGCTCGAATGATTCCTTTCCATCACTCTTACACACTAACAATAGTGGCATTCATTGAGTGTATGGATGAGTGTGCGTATTTTACCATAACTGTAGAAACGCTTTTGTGCAAGTTTTGAAAATTCAAAAATGTGCAATCTCACATTCATTTTCCAGAACGTCTGCCAGACACTGTGGTGCTCAGTGAAAGGTTTTTGTCGCTCTAAGCTGGACGCCGCTGCAGATGGGACGCGTTGTGGTGAGAAGAAGGTGATGTGTCCGGCTAAGGAAGGAAGGTGGGAAGGTGGCCGGCAGAGAGTTCTTGGGAGGAGCTAGGGAGAAGGCCCTGGAAGGTGGCTCTCTCTGGGTGGAAATCAGGAACTGGAGGTCACACAGTCAGACAGCCAGAAGAAAGGATCCCACTTCCCCCACTCCTTGTGAGCCTCCACTGGGAATGAGTAAGGAGAGGGCTGAGACCCAATTCCAAACTTTACTTTAAAAATACCTGACCCGTCTTTCCCCAATGAACTTCTGTGGAGTTTGTGGTCAACAACATCTCCCGAGCCTATCAAACTTCATTTTTTTTCCCTCCACATTGAAGACTGGGAAAAACAAGCCAGCGGCTTCTTGTTTCCAAAGGTGCAGGATTTAGGCTCTTTATTATCTTTCCTCTCAGCACCTAACATGACTGCATTTCTTGCAGTTCTGCCCATGTTACTAAGAACTCAGAGGTGTTAGACATCCTCCAGGCAGCCTGAGAACAGGGTTGTATGTGCTGCTCAACTAAGCCAACTGGGTGTGTTGTGGGCCCAGAGGTGTTTCGTGGGTATCTTTATGCTGTTTGAGTGTGACATGACTCATCACAGAGATTAGAGAACCTGGTCAAAACACAGTGACCAGAAAAAATGAAGAAAAAAGAGACCAGCAGATAAAACATACCTAAATCTTCCAGGAAGGATGGCCATTTCTAACAGGCAAGTTGCATTTCCTTTTGTTTTCATTTTTGTATGTTCACCCTCCTAAACCGATAGTTGTAGAAGGATTGCCTTGAAGAAGGAGAAGGTGAATTTCTTATGAGTTGCTTAAAGGTTCAAATTGTAAACAATGGGGAGCGTTATAGCAAAGCAGAATTTTTTCTCGATGTAAGAAAGAACTTCCTAACAACTAGTTGGTTTTGGCAGTGAAATGGACTTTTTACAGGAGCTAGAGTTCTCGCCTGCTGTCATTAAATACCCATAGAGGCTATAAAGAAGTGCCCCGCACTGTACCAATCTGTGAAGCTTCATGATATGCAACAAGATATGGGCAAATCAGCTATGTCACTAAGCATACTAAGTTGACATACTTTTCACAGCAAGACTTTCTCAGCAAGGGAGGAAGCAGTGTGTTGATTTACGTTCTGGCAAGCAATCTGCCAGCCACACTGAGTAGCACTCCTACGTTAGCTGTCACTAGGCACCACACATTTCCCTCCATCCCTGAAACTCTCTCATTCTAAAACGAAGACTCTTGACAGACACTCTTTATGAGCCCTTCTTTGTTTTACATCTGATACGTGACTATAGGAGGCCTGTTTGCTCGGGGACAATGGGTTTAGACTTTGAGAGCCCTTGGGTCAGCTTGCTGTGGGAAGCTTTCTGACACACGCATCTCCCACCTCTTCCCTGTACAGTGGTGCATGGCCGGCAAGTGCATCACAGTGGGGAAGAAGCCAGAGAGCATACCTGGAGGCTGGGGCCGCTGGTCACCCTGGTCCCACTGTTCCAGGACCTGTGGCGCAGGAGCCCAGAGTGCAGAGAGGCTCTGCAACAACCCTGAGTAAGTCCAGCCAGGTGTATTTTTCTTCCTTCCACAAGTGCTGGGAGGCCAGTCTTGAAAGGCATGACCTCAGTGACCCCAGGCTTCCTGAGGGAAATGAAATGGATTCCCAAAGACCAAAAAACCCAGAAGATTCATAGAGTGTCAAAAAAAGAGTGCTACTGTTTTGTTTCATTTGGACTGGCACTGAATTCTTACTAAAACTTGGATGAGTAAGCTGATTCTGTCATTTGGGGAAATAAGCAAATTTATTTTAAATTTGCAATCTTTATGAAAGCCTCTGGGAGATTATGCAATTTAATCCTTCTAGATAACTGTGCTCTATCAGTAAGAGATTAGTTATGCCCAATTTTGCTGATAAGATTGTAGCTTGCTTTAAATCACAATGAATGTATAATTTTATAAAAATATTTTTCCTCCCTAAGGTAACTAGTAAAATAGCTAGGTACATTTTTAAGGATAATTATTTTTTTATTTTATTTTTTTTATTTCAGCATATTATGGGGGTACAGATGTTTAGGTTACGTATGTTGCACTTGCCCCCCCGCAAGCCCGAGTTTCAAATATGTCCATCCTTTGGGTGGTGCGCATTGCACTCTTTGTGTATGCATATACCCGTCTCCTCCTCGCTCCTCCCCACTCCCCCCTCCCCCTTCCCCCCTGCCCAGGGATAATTATTTTTAATGTTTTGGATAAGGACTTTTGTAAGCTCTAGAGTTCTATAGTAGCCTGTTAAGGATTCTGTAGATGGTAATTCACAGCTACCTTTCAATTTTTTAATCAAATTGTATCAATTAAGTTTAAATTTGCTTGTTTTCTAAATATACATTATACATTGTTGGTGGGACTCCATTACATTCTTAATTTCATTATTTTCTGATATACTCATTCCCAAGTAATTTTTAGAAAGTGTACATGTGGTGCCTCCTTTAAGTGAAAAATGTATTAAGCTTCTTTTACCTATATTTACATTCTTCTGCTTTGAAGAGTAAAAGTTATATTTTTTAAGTGGCAAGTGATAATGTTACCAAAAGTTCGGCACTTGTCCTCAAGGCTGCATCAGAAGAACGAGGACAAGTGGTTTGAGGAGAAGGAAAGAGAAGTTTATTCATTTGTTAGCAAATGAGGAGATTGGCGGGGTCCTGTCTTAAAGTACCAACATCCTCCCTCTAAGGAGGAATATAGAACTTTTAAAGGGGAAGTTTTCAGCCTCAGGCTATTGCTGTTCAGCTATAGTTGATGATTCTGATTCATCCCATCTTTGGCTAAGACAATCTCGTGTCCTCTGTCCAGACAATTCCCTTGAGCCATCTCCCATGGTACAAAGAACAGAGAACACTCCCCTGTCCCTCCTGACCACTGGCCTGAGGCTGGGATGTATGTAGGTTTTAATTCCCAAAAGGAGTGGGGAAGTTTTAGAGAGACAGAAAACAGTTTTATACTTTTTCAGGCCATTCCCTCTGTTACAAGTGAAAGTGATTGCAGTTCCCTGAGTAACTCAGTTCCAAATCTTATTTCTCCTTTTATACATGTGTGCATACACACACACATACACACACACACTATATTTATACTATATATTTTTCTTCTGAGGGTTAATAAGTTAGTGTCTGTAAAGATTCTAACACAATACCTACTACATAATAAATTGTCAATAAATGGTAGTTATTATAGTAGTAATTATGATATCTTTATCATTTGCTACACACATAAGCATGCATTTAAAAACTCTTGACAAAATTTTTTAAAAAATTTTACCCTTTGATAAAAGTTGTTTTTGTTTAAATACACAATTTCTGTGGCATCAAAAATTTGAAACCAGGAATTTCTTATAGAATATTTTTAGAGAAAATTGTCATTTTATAGTTTGTTTCAGTTTGATCAGAAATGTGATTTCCATTTTAGAGATCAGGAAATATAGGCATTTGCTCTGGGACATATCGTCAGCATAGTCAGCCACCACCAATCTGTAACCTTGGAAGAATAGTGATCTGTGGTTATCAGAGAGAACATCCTAGTTGAGAAACACGGGGATGATTCTCTAACTTGTCTTCAGGGAAAAGTGGTCCTAAGTCCCATCTCTGGGGCTACAGTTTGTCATAGCATCTCTGTGGGTGAGTGAACACATCTGTTCTCTGTAGGTGGTTTGCTTAAGTTTGTTGAGAACATTGCCAATGGAACCACATCACAGATTCAGTTCTGTGATTCAACCAAGTCACAGATTCAGGTCACTGCATGAGCCTGTTGACCTTGAGACTGTACCTTGATGTTGGTCAACTGTCAAATGAGAAAACTGCGGGGCTTGGCTCATAAGAGGCTGTCAGCGATATTTGTTGGATGGAAATGAATTGGAGAGATGCCAAGTCATGGAATGTCACTCCATCATTGTAAATAAAAGCCAGCTTAACCTCAAATATCAAGAACAATTCTTAGTACCTCCTACAGGGAGTCAAAGAATGAAGAGCCTACTATATCAACTGCCTTGCTCAAAGCTCCTTTATGTGCAAGGAACAGAAGCCTACTCAAGCCACTTTAAGAAAGGTGGGGTGGGAAGTATTGAAAAATCTTATGCACGTTTAAGGAGAGCACAGTATGGCAGGATCAACAAGAACTAAACCACACCCAGAACTGGACTCAGCTGCCAGAATTTGAGGTCTCTGTCTCTAAGGACTGTATGGTAGGGTACAACATAGTAGATAAGAGCTTGGGCTGTGGATTAAAGCAGTTGATAGTTCAAATCTTGGTTCTACCACTACCAGCTGTGCACTTTGGGAAGATGTCCGTGTTTTCTGTGTCTCTAGAATATGATTTCCTCTGTGTGGCTCACTTGGCATGCCTTCTGCCTTTGCACCGAGAAGCTACTTCCCATCCATCCTTTAGGACTGTTCTCTAGGACCATCCCTTGCACAAATCCTTTCCAACCAGCCAGCTCTGTCTCCAAACAAAACTCATTGTGCTTACAGTCAGGGACACACAGTTGCTATGTTAAATTTTCTCTCATTTCTTATACAGGTCATTTTTTTTCTCCTCAGCAAGACTGTAAACTTCTAGAAAGCACAGGGCATGGATTGACCTTCTTCACTCCCTTCTTCCCTGGGCATGGCATTGAGTGCTTAGTAGTATGTAAATACTGGTTCATTATTATTCACAATCACCAAAAAATGCCATCATTTGTTGAGCTCTTACTCTGTGTTAGCTACTAACTAAATCTTTATGTGCATTGTCTCATTCAATACTCACAACTTACGAGGTAAAAATTGTTGTGCTTGTTTCACAAATGAAAACAATGGAGTCTCAGAGAAATAAGGTAACCTGTTCAGAGTCATCCAACTACGAAAAGATAAAGCCAGATGCAAACTTGAGGCTATTGGCCCCACTGCAAGAAGAGGCACAATCTCTGATTCAGATGTAGCAGCAAGGTGGAGACAAGAAGCCTGGGAGCCCTCTCTGAAGATACATGGTTCCTTCACTTCTCAGAGGGCTATTCTTCTATGCTCTACTCGCCCCTTTTGGTAATCCATTGATCACTGGCCACTGATGGGAAGGTCGCTATGCCTGCAAATATATTGCAAAGGAAACAAAAATTTGAGAATGATTATTCTAAAATAAGATTAATTTATTAATATTTACTCATTTAATGTTTATTAAAAGACTTCTATCCTCAGTACTACTTAGGCACCGTAGAGGACATAGATCTTGGACTGAGTCATCAGAGAACTATCTTCGGGAATGATGAGTTCAGGAAGTGCATACAGTTGGTACATGATGTCTCATTTAAGAGGAGAAAGACATTACTTCTGGGGGGAATCTTGGAAGGATTCATGATGGAGGTAGCATTCAATTGGTCCTTAAAGCATGGGAAGTATGTATAATAGATGTGGAGACGATAAGAGAGGGAGAAGCTATCCAAAAGCACAGAAAAGCAATATTAAATAAGGCAGCTTGCACGACTGGAGCAGTGTACAGATGAAGGGGAGTGTGGGAGACAAATCGTCACCGGGTTAAGGCAGGAGCATGAGGGCCTTGAATGCCAAGCTCAGGAGGCTGATGTGATCATTGGATGCCATTAGAGGTTTTTAAACAGGAAACTAAAATAAGTAAGGTAATCTGAAAAATTAACCAGACAACAGTGTGAAAGGGGGCAGGGGCAAGACAGGAATGGAGGTAAGAATTGGACTGAATTGACGACTGTGGAGTTGAGGAGGAAACAAATGTAAAGAGACAACTGACGACCAGGCAGTGAATGACTGTGGGGGCCGTGGAAGGCCAAGGAGGGATGATTCTGAAATCTGACCACTTTCAACACCATATAGGAGTCAGAGAAGGAGCCGATTTGAAAGGAAAATTATGTATCCCTTTCAGCATATATTTTGCCTGGAGGATGTACAGGTGAAAAAAGGTGTACAAACTATTTCAAAATAAGCAGCTATACATTTAGGACTGAAAATGTCAGGAGGAAGGAAAAAAATGTATAAAATTGGAAGCATTTATTTAAAAGGTGAGTTTTAAGGGCAGAGAGAGACATGGTTTGGCAAGGAACAGGCATGGCCAGATGCCAGAGGAGTTTTAAAGGAAAATGACCTTTAAGGAAACTGAAGGAAAAACTTGTCTATTTCATTTGTAGACCAAAGTTTGGAGGGAAATATTGCACTGGAGAAAGAAAACGCTATCGCTTGTGCAACGTCCACCCCTGTCGCTCAGGTACACCAACATTTCGGCAGATGCAATGCAGTGAATTTGACACTGTTCCCTACAAGAATGAATTCTACCACTGGTTTCCTGTTTTTAATCAAGGTAAGGAACTGTAACAGATCTAGGCCCACAGTTGTTCTTAGGAAGCGTTTATATGTCAGGGTTTCTGTGATCCATGCAAAGTTTAACTAAGAGAATTATTCCATCAGGAGTTTTATATTTTAGAACATGGAAACATTAACCTGGTTAAATTGATCATTAAGTATTGAAAGCTGAATATGTCCAACTCTGTGTGAGCTTTGTGGGAGGTAAAAAAGAATATTATGAAACATAGTGACTCAGTTCAAACCAGCTGAGGTGCACTTTAGTGACAAATGGGGCATGCAGGAATTCAGTAACTAATTGCTTGTTGATGGGCATGTGGAACTGACTGTGATTTCGGCAGAAATTCAGAAGAGAAGGTCATTGTGGATTTGGAGTAATTGCAGAAAAGGCTTCCAAGGAAGCAGTTGATGATTCTTAAGCATGAGTAATCTTTAGTGAGCAGCACGAGTAGTCTTTCTACTTAAAAGAAGGAAAAAGGAAACCATTCAAAATAGAATCATTCCAAGTAGGAGGAGAATAGCATGAGGAAAAGCAAGATAACAGGAATGCCTTCATCAGAAATGAACCAGTGCCAGCTCTGGGCTAGAAATCAACATTCATATCTACAGGAGTATGAGAAGGGTAAAAAGTAAAACCAAACACCTAAAGAATGCATACTAGGGATAGGGACATAATGGAGGTGGAGAATGGAACAGTGACCTTGGCAAAACTTTGTCTGGGTCAGGACCAGGTACACATTCTCTCCTGAAAACAAAGAATAATCTATAACCATTAGCAATAGATCAATGTAAAAAACCATCTTATTTGTGCTATTTATTTTATTTGAGTGGGAAATGAAACAAAAAAGATTTTCTTGGACTAAGGAAATTTGAGTCAAGGTAGTAAAAAAAAAAGAAGCTGATCAATTTTTTCATGATTTTTTAAGTTCCTGAAATTCTGGTATGATAGGACATGAAAAGAATAGATTCGGCCGGGCGCGGTGGCTCACACTTGTAATCCTAGCTCTCTGGGAGCCCGAAGCGGGTGGATTGTTTGAGCTCAGGAGTTCGAAACCAGCCTGAGCAAGAGCGAGACCCCGTCTCTACTAAAAATAGAGAAATTAGCCGGGCATGGTGGCACATGCCTGTAGTCCCAGCTACTCGGGAGGCTGAGGCAGAAGGATTGCTTGACCCCAGGAGTTTGAGGTTGCTGTGAGCTAGGCTGACGCCACGGCACTCAGTCTAGCTAGGGCAACAGAGTGAGACTCTGTCTCAAAAAAAAAAAAAGAATAATAGATTCAACAATCATGTATTTGGGCTGTTAGAACAAAGGTATAAGCAATAGCTTTTGAAAAAATGACTCTGCTGTGCTTTGCCCATTTTGCGTCTCTAAAATATCCTGATGACTATAGGTTGACAAGGGCAATGACTGCTCCTTGTCCCCAGTTGTTTGGTGTCATTCATGCTGTAGGAAAGTGAGTCATTTGGTTATTGGTGCAATTTAGCTTCCTGTGTCAGGCAGTTGACTACAGGAAAACTCACGTGTATACTAATGTGGACTCCAAAAATAACTAGTGCTGAAAGGTACATCCAGTCGGTACTTTCTATACCTACATTTTGCACATTCTCTATTTTGATAAAACTGTTTGGGTCAGTGGTCCTGTGGACCCTGAATGAGCAGAACTAAGATAGCACAGAGGTGTCCCAGAGGCTGTCCCAGAGGTATGAGGGTGATTAGTTTGGGGTCCCCCTCCCAGATGTAGAGTTGGATTTGTATGTACCTAATTCTGATGGCTCAAGTAGCTGGACTTGGAATAAAGGTATTTGATTCAGCTTTGCATTTTATTTGTTTATAAGCATTTGTCCTGTGTCTACCTTTCACATAGCATAGCAATAGGTGCTAAAGAAATGAGAGCTGTAAGAGTAGAGATAAATTTCATTCCTTACAAAGTGATCAGTTTGCATCTATAACTGGGATTAAGTTTGCCACCTGCTGAGGTCACTGCCTATCTTGGCTGTAGGCATTCATTCTCTATCCTGGTGGTTTCCTTACAGGTTCCTGTGCTATTATTTGGGTGCATTGACTTATCTACTGAGTAGCTACTACCTTGACCAGCACACTGATTTCCTTCTCCATTAAACTCTATCCTACGGTATTGCTATTTGCTTTGTTAACAGGCAGCCCTGGTGGTGGCAAGTAGGTCGCTCATGTCAACCACAATGTGTGGAGCACTTATTCTGTGCCAGGTGTCGAGCACCTTCCACCTTCCCAGGATTCCTTTAGAAATCACCAGAGGATAAAATAAATGTGCAGCAGAGTTTTCTGCCTCCTCAATGGACCGTGATACTCACCTGGTAAATGACCTTTGGCAGATTTGCTAAGTAGCCAGTGACAGAAGAATCATAGATCAAATGTTTGGAATGAGCACATAAACTCTGCCAAATCTGGTAGTTTTCAATCTCTGTTCCGTGGAATCCCAGGGATTCTAAAAATGCTTGATTCTAACTTTAGTTTTCAAGAGAAATTTTTAAACTATTTCGTTTAGTTTGTTTTTAAATTTTTTATTCATACATGTTAGTTGTACATATTTTCAGGGCACATGTGATAATTTGATACATTCATATAATCAAATCAGGGTAATTGGGAAACCATCGCCTTAAATATTGATCTTTTCTTTATGCTAGGAACATTCTCTTCTAGCTATTTTGAAATGTACTTTTACTGTAGTCACCCTACTAATTATCAAACACCAGGTCTTTTTTTTTCTAAGTGTATATTTGTAAACATTATAAACTATTTTTAAGAGTGTAATAAAGAACAATACTTACACTAAAAAATATTATATATCAGGTTTTAACATATCAAAGACCACCGATGCATTAACTTAGATAGTCAAATCAATTTGGTTTTCTGAAGACCTTAGAATAAAATTTGTACTGCCAACTCAAGTGAATTGAGAACATCCTGAGATTGTAGATTGAGTTGTTCTAAACTGTTACCATTTGTAACTACTTGTTTGCAGGAATCAGGATTTTTCAGTACTGTGCAACTGAAAACACAGAAAAAAAGTTGCAGACGAAATATGCCTATAACTGCCATCCACAGCCTGATTCCAAAATTTCCTATTCATCTTAATAGTCTCTATAGATCCCACACTTATTTTTAACCGTTACATACATGAACTTAGAAAATTTACGCTTACTAAAATCCTGATTTTTATCTGCTTTATTTACTTCTCATTTGAAAAAAGAAAAATAATTCTCTGCTTAAAAAGTTTGAAAACCACTGATCTGGATCAACCTGCTATCCAACATAAACATTTTCTTCACAGCATTCCTGACAAAAAAAATTGTCCAAACTCCACTTGATCATATGCACATAGGCACCATGTGATGAGCTGCTATGCGTTCACTGCGATTTCTGAGCCAGTGTCAATACCAGGCATTTGACTGTAGATGATGTCACTTCCCCCCTTCCCCATCCTTTAGAGATGAAGAAACCGAGTCTCAGAGAGGACAGTAACTTAGTCGAGGTTACAGGGTTGTAGATAGTGGAGCTAGAATTGAAGTACAGCTCTGTTTGACTAAAATGTATTTTAAACTAATTTATGTGGGCTCCCAGGGCCTTCATTAGCTTATGGTAACAGAAGTGCATTTATATCACGTGTCTTCTATTGGGAAATGAGGCAATGATCAGAGCCTAGTCTTGACGCTGTCACTTTCCTGGAATCTGTCTTCCTTTGTGGATTTTTTTCTTTCTCGGAGCACCACAACAATCCTTCGTTTAGGTTGATTGTTTTCATTGTTGCTTCTAAATCTTTAAGCTTTATTGCTGCTTGATACCAGTGAAGTTTCCCAACATATGTCAAATGTGGAGTGTCTGAGGTGGGATAGGATCCTTCAGGAATGTCTTCAGGGAATTGCTATAGATTGGGTTCCCTAGACACAGACTCTGAGACAGACTAGCATGCAGGAAGTTCAGCAGCCGTGTGAGGGAAGGGAAGACGTGGAGTGGGCGGGGGAGAAGCCAGGCTGCAATGCAGTCCTAGCTAAGGAGTTGTCCGGACCCATGGGGAGCTCTGAAGCAAGAATGGACTTTCAAAGTTGCGACAGATGTGGCAGAGCCAGGCCTTTAGACCCCACAGGCTCAGTCACTGGATGTGGTCTGCTCCAGAGGGGTATGTATGCTTGGCAAGGAAACTCTTCGGTTAAGGTCAGCAACTGAGGGCTAACGCTAGCAGCCTTCCCAGGAACTGGAGGGCTAAATTCCAACACCTGGGGATGGCGCGGAGAACCAGGGCAGCACTCACAGTGTAAGAATATTTGGGGTTTGGATGAAACAGCCTTTGAAGAGAGTAATGTAAGTGCAGGAACAACCTGGGAGATCTTCTAGACAAGCTTCTCATTTCAGAGATTAGGAGTCCATGGCTTCCACAAGGGAAATGATGGAATAATAATATAAAACAATGAAGATGTTTGCAGACCCTCCGAGCCGTTCACAACTCTTTGCCCTCACTTTCCTCTGCAATAGAAAGGGAAAATGAATGACTTACCAACATGTACATCCTCAGACCCTGTTCTGACCAGAGATTGAAGTAGAAGCCTCGCTGGGCAAGGCTTCTGGGAAGGTTATAATTGGTGCCTACTCAGCGGGCCCCTCAGCTCCCTGTGATCATTCTTCCTCTTCCTACTCCCTGGGGAGGGAGTCGGGGCAGGGCAGGAGGGGAGGACTGTGGCAGTCATCTGCAGCCATGAAGTTGGAAGCCCCAAGCTAAGACAGCTGAGCAGGAAGACAAGAGGAAGATAGCCCTAAATTCCCACCTGTGGACTTCCTGTTATGCGAGAAAAAAAAAATAAACTCCTGCCCATTTAAGGGAAGGAACAGCAATATTTTCTGATAATAGCTTATTTTACACTTTTATAAGTATTTGCTCTGTTCTAGGCACTGTACGTGCATTTTGCTAATCTTATCTCCACAAGAAAATCCTTCAAGGAAGGCTAAGTTTTGACCCAATTTTTATGGATGAGCTAATAGGGTTAGAGAACCTAAGTAACTTGCCCAAATTCAGACTATGTGATGGAACCAAGAGTTAACCCAGTTAACTCTGCAGCCTAAATCTTAACCACTAAAACAAACAGGGACTGGGTTAAGCCCCTTTCCAGAAAAACAATGCAGTGAACTTTGAATTTACTCTAAGATGGTGTCACATCTTTAAAAACTTAGATTATTTCATGTCCAAGGAGTTCTGGTAAAAGCCGTAACAATCCTTTGTATTATGATTAAGGTTCATTTTATTAAATTTATCTACCTTGCTCTTGAAAATCAATGTTTTCTGAACATTTGAACAATGATAAATTAATTACTACATTCTTAAGCAATTTAAATTGCAATTCTAAATTTAATGCCACAGTTCTTAAACAACTTAACAAAAACACAGAACTTAAAAATATATGGTACATAGACAACTTATTACTGACTTTAACCTAATTTAAAACTTTAATGACATCAGTTCAATTCATTTTTTAAAATTATTTCTCTTCTTGTTTTTATACCTTTCTGTGGATATAATAGAATATATTTATTTTAATGCCTTCCTATGTTTATCTAATATATATTTTTATACATTGTGGGGATTATAATAATATCACCACATTGGAAAGTAAAAGGGTACCATTTTAGACCAGCCAAAGTTACAAAGTCTTGGTAATTATTTGACTGATTTTGGTTGTGATACAGAGTCAGGACTTTTCATTTATGTTTTTTCCCCTCAAGCTGATTTGATCCTAGTCTTTAAACTGAGCTTCCTTTATATGTTAAACATAATTTGTTGCATCAGTAAAACATTTTAAGTTATGCCTTTTGCTTGAGGTTTAGTATTTCTTGGAATGTGCGAGGAACAGCAGGGGGCACACTGCAAGTCCCTCCAGCTCACTCAGGGGCCCATCATCCTCTGGGACTTCACTTACAGAACACAAGTTCAAAGATAAAATGATTAAGAATATCAAGACAGCGACCACAGAGCATTCAACAAGTGCGAGGTCCGGGGTGACAGCACTGGTCTCATGCCCATAAAGGCCTGCCTGTCAATGGATTTTGGAAGCTGTTGCAATCTACTCACAAAACGTGGAATGCATCAGAACTGTTCCTTAGCCTAAGAGATATTTTTATCCTTCTTAGCAAGTTTGAGTTTTCATTTCTAACCATCACTTCTTAAGATCATTATCCAAAAAATGTTGAGCCATCCTGTTTCAGTAGAATTGAAAATACAACCTTTGATTCAGTAAGTCCATCCCATTTGCTAAGCTTCCTTTGAGAGGATTAATCAGACAGTGTGAGGGTGAGAGATCACTAGCAAATTGGTTTTAGAGCTTTCACTTAGCTGAATTATAAATGGACCTGAAAGCTAGAGGGGAAAAAAATCGCATGACCCAGGCAAAAGGATATGTCAGGGCAGATGGATGAATGTGAGACAATGAAAGTACTCAACTGTACAGAGATGATGGACTCTGAGAGGTTGATGTCTAGGGCAGAGAATCTCTGATACTCATGACAACTGCTGAGAATAAAGACCATCCATTGTCACCCCTACCTCCTGTAGATCCCTGTGTCACAGGACAACCTAATGACATACCCAGAGCCCCTCCAGAGCACCGGGAAAGACACAGGCCAGAGAAGGAGGGGACAGGGACGCAGTCCCTCAAGCTCAGCCTTACAAACTGCTTAAATAGCACTGAACCTTCAATGTACAATGGCTGCTTTCAAGCGCAGAGTTCGTTCTGATAGGTCATAGTGGTTGGTGGAACTCCGGCAGGGGCACAGCGGTGGGTCTGTGTGTTGTTATTGTTGTCATAAAGGGTATTTACTAGATATTTCTAAGACTCCATAGACTTCTGCACTTATATTCAACAGACATTTGTGTTTCCTATGGGCAGTGTACTTCAGTTAACCTGTCTAACCTTGAAGCATGTACTAGTTCTGTATTGTGGAAACAATAGGAAGGGAAGTTTCACAATAAGGGTCTCTCTTCATGGAGATGTGTCACGATCATCACAGGAGAAAAGAGACTTTTCTAGTTTTCTTATTTGATGGATAAGACTTATTATTTTTAAAAGGAATATACGTGTCTTATAAAAATGAAAGTATGCAAAATAGAATGAAGTGAAAATAAATTTTTATTATTACCCCTCAGAGCTAACCGTAGTAACAGCAGGCTTTTGTTTATACACAAATAGAATCATACTTTGCTGTTTCTGCAACTTTCTTGACTCACTGAACAGTAGTAGCTCATGGCTTCATAGCCATTTTGACTTTTTCCATCATCTCAGACAACTTACCCACTGCACCTTATATAAAATCAATTGGTATTCTTTATGTGCTTTTACCTTTCTCCTTTAAGCTCTTAACAGATGTTTTTGACCTCTGTCTGAAGTTTGTCCAGAGTTTCAGTGTTTGGAATTTTTGTTCTTAGGTACATTTGTGTGAGTTTCACACTTTCATTTTCTTGCCACATCGATCATTGCATCCTCAAGCAGACATAGCTATCACTGTGCACTCTGGCCTTGAATTTGGTGCCCCTCCACACTGAGATTGGCCAAGGCCAATGGCCCTGTGGCTAGTATCGTTGAGCCCTCAGCTGGTCACACTACCAAGAAACCAACAGCCCTGCCTACAATAAACAGATTGAGAAGAGACCTCAGAAGGGTCCTGTTGAAGAAGTGATTCTCAAGTTTTTCACTTAAAGAAAAACGACACATAACATTCAAAAGAAAATTATTATTTGAATTTTTACCATATATATGTACTACCTGTTAAAATTTTAAGGCGATTTATGTTTTAAAAGTTATCTATATTTCTGGTTATTCTGTGTACATATATATGGGTATGTATTTTATTAAGGAAAAGTTTCTGCATTGTAGATCATCCTACCTTCATTCACAAGGGAGTAGAAACCTGAGCCTTAGCATGGATTCAGTGTAGGACCCAGGATGGTGGGATGGACCACTATAATAAGCAGGTTGGCTTTAGCAAAAAAGTGCGTCCTTTGTTTGTATGTGGTTATCAATCTGTGTCCAGGCCCTTCTTGGACTGCAGGAGAATAAGGGAGAATATTCATTGGGGGCTGGGTTATGCTGGTAGTGCTGGTGGTGGTGGCATTAGTAATGAGCTGGCCCTGTGAGAGGGAATGGCCTCTCCCCTGAAGGTCTACTTATTTGCTGCAAACGATGAGCAAGCATCATGCTTGCCTGCAGTCCTAGATGCTGGTTGTGATAACTTATTTTCTAGGCTGAGCTCAGATGCCCAGCACCTTATTTTTACAAGCAGAGTTCAACGTTGGATTGAAAGATCTAATCATTTATAACAAAGAGCATAGCACTTTTAAACAATCTTCCAAATTTAATCCATTATAAAACCGTCAATTGAAGAAAGAAAAAACCTACATTTCAGCATGTGTCTCAGAAAGGTCAAAGGTGGGATCACCAGATTAAACGACACTTGGGGGTCATGCGCACAAAGAAATCCTGGAAGGAGGGTGCTGAGCTAAAAAGCTAACTTGCAAGGATTTGTCATTTTCTCTTTTCCTTCAGCGCACCCCTGCGAGCTCTACTGCCGACCCATAGATGGCCAGTTTTCTGAGAAAATGCTGGATGCTGTCATAGATGGTACCCCTTGCTTTGAAGGCGGCAACAGCAGAAATGTCTGTATTAATGGCATGTGTAAGGTATTGGGTATGTTTCCTTAATCTACAACTTTTATAAAATCATGACTTTCATTCATTCAGATAATCAGATGTTCTAAGCTTGTGCTTTCCTGGCATTTACGTTTTGTCTGGAATTTATACGTGGTCTGTGAGACAAAAACATGAGACTTCTCAATGCTCATCAAAGTCAGGTTGGGACTGAATAGTTTTTTCTTCCTGCTGCCATCTTCATTTCTTAATTTGTTGATGTGTACTATGACTTTATTTTTGGCACTGACCAGGGTCAAATTGAAGAAGAAGAACCAAATTAAAGGAGGAATTATTAGGATAAGACAGCCCAGGTTACTTCAGTGGCATTAAGTTTGAGAAAAGCTGAAATTAATAATAGTTTGTATAGTGCTTTTCACAGAGAATTTTTGCATTTAATTCTTCATTGATTATCAACATGATCTTCTCAGAGAGATGGCATAAATCAGGCTTCTGATTAATCAACTACATCTTTATATCAATTATTTAAATCTAATTTGTTAATGCTTTTAAGTGTACAACCATCGAAGAATTCCTTCTCATTGATTACAGTTTATTTTGCAAGGAACTGAGGAACAAGTTCTTGGACCAAGATCCAATACCCAAGCATAAATTTCAGTTTAAAGAGAAGGTGTTTTTATCAATTAAAAGAAACCTGTATAGAAATATCTAATGAACTGTTGGTAAAGCACAATTCTAGTGCCAGAGCTCTAGAATATGAACTGAACACCATCATTTATTAGATGTATGATCCTGTATATCTTTCTAAGACTCTCTTTTCTGTCATAAAATTGGGATATTAAGGTATCTATCTAGTTGGGGTCAAAAAGATTAAATAAGTTCATATAGGTTAAACCCTTAACAGAGGCCCTAGTGTACAATAAACTCTTAATAAATTTTGTTTCCAAAAATATTTATCATAATTTTTTTCAACAGGACAAAATTGCACCCCACTCCCACCCCATGCAAAGCTTTTGCGCATAAATGTTCAGTACCCTATTAAGGTGCACATATTTTCTTGAAGTTGCTTTTTGATTTATTTAAGTGGTAACCAAAACCCAGGAGGCAAAATGATTTCCAGGAACAAGAGAGCTGATGAAAAGCTAAAATCAGACTCTTAATTTGAAAGAGCTCAGGCAAAATTCTCTTTTAAACGAACTAATTATCATTGTGATTACAAAGAGCCAAAAATAATTAATATATTTTAGATTAGATAGCTCTGTTTCCCAGAGAGGGAAGAGGGTCATTATTTAGATAATTAATCTACACAGGAACACAGCAGGATGGAGGAAAAAAAAAATAGATAATTCAGGTAAAAATAGCCCCACCTCTGTCTAAAGCAATGGTTCTCTCTCCTGGCCACACATTAGAATCTCCTGGAGAGCTTTTAAAAATTACTGACTGTCTGGGCTCTATCTCAGACCTATGAAATCAGAATCTCTAAGATTTGGGGCCTGGGCATTGATAACTTAAAATCTCCCAAGGTGATTATCATATGTGGCTAGGACTGAGGACTTTAGCCACAGAGAAATGAATGTGATGCTAAAATTATCTTTTAGACGTAAATGACTTGCATGTATAGAAACAGAATCTTTAGCTTGTGATGGAAAACAGGTGCTTTGAACAAAATATAAGGGGTCTTGGGTGCCCCTCTTGAAGTCAATCAAATTAGCCTAACAAAATAAGCCAGATTCTCTCAGCTTGCCGCCCTCATTCTGGGAGCCAGTTAAGGCCTTTTAAAAGCTGTAAGTGCCCACTTTCTGTCTATAACACACTGAGTTAAGTTTTTAAGCTGAAAAATGGTGTGAAATCAAATATACAAAATATCCCAGATACAATTTATCTGCCAGGATCCAAGACTGTAGGTAGTTTCAGTCTCTGTGTATATTTGTTAGTCTTATTTGTTATTCTCCTTATTCATTTACTACAGTTTTTCCCTAAGGGAATTGAACATGTATTGCCATAAAAAGGTAAGCCTTCAGAAAAAAATGTATGTGGTGTTTGTCTAATCTGCTTTCTTTGTGGATAAGAAAATATATTTTCTTACATTCATGTCTATTTTGCCTACTTTGAAATTATATTATTTTCCAACATTTTGGTATGTTAGAGTTACAGATTATATTGTCAAGGAAATTATCAAGCCCTGATTAGAACTGAATTTGTTCTGGGAGGTAACTATCTGTCCCCCTGCCCCCAATGTTTTTTAACCAGTACTGACCTCTCCTAAGCTTGTTTATCAAAGATATAGATTTAAACTTTGACTTTTCAGGATATCCACCATTTTTAATCACAAGTGTGACATAGAATAAGCTTTTAAATTTAAGAGCAGATTCTTCACTTCCATCCTCATCCCCTTCTGGCTCTGAAATATCACTCCCATATCTACTGTCTTAGGCTACCACTAACCTTCCAGCTCTTTCCTGTTTCCCCTGGTAACCAATTCTTTGATGTCAGCTTTTCTCTGGGTCAGCATAGCCCTGGCTTAATTTCCTTTCCAAGCAGCCCAGATGCCCTAGTTTATCTTAGCTACCTCCCCCCTCTTAGCCTCTTATCCCAGGCCCTGCTTCCAGATCAACCCGTGACAACCCTTTTTTGATCTTATGATCAGCCTACTTAAAAGTTTAAAATTTAAAAAAATTTTAAAATAAAAATTCAACCTTGTGAATCTGTGCCCTTACAAAGTCAGGGCAGCTGACTCTTAAACTTACCTGGCAATCTCCCTGCTGTTCAAGTAAGCTCCCTCTCCTGTTCCTCCCAGAAAGGATTCTGAACCTTCTTTGTTCTTTCTCAAGGCATTTTGGCCATCTCAGTGATATGATAAACACCCCTAAATTGATTGCTTTGAGGCATACCTCTCTCTAGAATGCCAGACCTGATTTTCTGGCCCTACAGGCCCAACAGTTACTGCAATCTTAACATTCCTAAAGTAAAATCGTACCCCATTCTTATTCCAACCTGTTCTCCTGTTGTGCTTCTTTTTGGAATGACGCTAAAACCACCTATTTAGATTTCTAGATTGTAATCCAGTAAGTTGTTCTTGGGTCCTCATTAAGTCTCCTCCTTCATAATTGGTCACTATACCACCATCACCCCACCTCCACCCCTACCATCATCATCACAATCACCACCTCCATCACCACCCCCACCATTATCATCATCACCACCCCTACCACCACCACCGCTACCCCCACTATCACTACCTCCATCACCACCATCATCACTTCTCCACTACCACCACCACCTCCATCACCACCCTCAACATCACCACCACCACCATTGTGACCGCCCCTACTAGCCACTCTCACCACCATTACTTCCCCCACCATCATCATCACTACCACCACCACCATCACCGCCGCAACATAACCACCACTACCATCACTCCTACCACCTCCCCCATTATCATTGTCCCCACCATCATTAGCACCATCACCATCACCACTGCCACCATCACTACTCCTACCATTATCATCACCACAATCATCACCACCACCACCACCATCTCTGTCATTAATAATTATGATGTCCTTTATATATATTATTTCATTTAACTTGTCTCTTTATTTAAAGACTAAATTCTGATCCAGTACACTCTATGCTCATAATGGCCTGTTGATTTTTCTTCTTACATTTCTTCTAAATTCATCCCTTATTTACTTCTCTTCATTACCAGTACTAGTACCTGGGTTTCAACCCCATTATTTTTTGCCTAAACAACTATGATCATCTCCAACTTGTCTTCAGTGCAACAAATATATACTATGGGCATAGAGGACATATCCTGCTCAGGCACCAAGGATGTCACAGTGGACACAAGACCCAGTGGCTGCCCTCAAGAAGCTTGAAGTCTTCCAGCCTCCTAGACTCCAGGCCTGCTTTCCCTATGGGGAATTCTCCACTTTGGCCTAAATATCTTTTGAAACATAATTTTGATTGTTATGTGCCTGCTCAAATTCCTTAGGTGGTTGTCTACAACATTCTACATTAAATCTAAGCTCCTTAACATGACACTCACAGCTCATCATTGTCCCTTCCTTTCATAGAATCAGTCCGATCTTTTATCTGCCCCAATCAGGAAGCAGAAAGGTGACATGAGGTGTTTGAATATGACTTTGGGAAACTACCTAGCCTCTCTGAACTAGTCTCCCCATCTCAAATGGGCAAAATATACTGTATTAGTTCCCTATATCTACAGTAACAAATTACCACAAACTGGGAGATTTAAAACAAAAGAAATGTATTATCTCACAGTTCTGAAAGCTAGAAGTCTGAAATCAAGTTGTCAGCAGGGCCATGCTCCCTCTGAGGGCTTTAGGGAAGGATACTTTCTTGCCTCTTTCTAGTTTCTGGTGCTTGTAGACAATCATTGGCATTCCTGGATTGTAGCTGTATCACTCCAATTTCTGCCTCCATCTTCACCTGGCCATCTTCCCTCTGTGTCTCTCTGTCTCCAAATCTCTCTCTCCTTATCAGGACAACAGTCTTTGGATTTAGGGCCACCCTAATCCTGTATGACCTCATCTTAAATTGACTACATCTAAAAAGACCCTGTCTCTAAATGAGGTCACATTCACAGGTACCAGAGGTTAGGACTTCAACCTATCTTTTTGGGGGGCCTACTTAAATCCACAAGTACTTACTTTGAAAAGCTGTGGTAAGGAAAGCCTTCTGCTCCTGTCCCATTTGTTAAATGGCAGCGTCATTTACCTGTTCTTTTTGGCTAAGCACAGCTCTGCCCCAACTGTCTTCACATTTAAAGTTTCATTGGCTAATAATGAACCAGGAATTCTCCCAGTTTCTCTGCCTTTGCCAAGGACTTTAGAAAGAAATTATCACATTCCAGTTGGATTAGGTCATGGCAACAGTTGGTATTTCAGTTCTTAATCACTTGATAATTTGCCAAGTGAAACAATATTAACTCCTACATGAAAAAGAAAAACTGATAAGAATACCTCTTACTTATTTACTCATGGAGGACTGATTACCTGGTGAAAGTCTGGGACCTGATTTCCCTAAATCATACTCCAGGTAGCACACTCTTCTGCACAAATTCTTTCAGGGTCAGGAATTGGTGATATTATAGGAAATGAAAGTGATTTTTTTTTCCTGAACACACTACCCGGTGGGGTGGCTGTCTAGCATCCCCACAGTCGCAGCAGAGGAGAGCCATGCTGAAGTCATTTTCCACACAGGTAACAGCAGCAGAGCCACCTCTGAATCTGCTGAGGGTAGAAGACCTTGATGTGGGCCCTGTTGCCAGAGCACGTGCATGGAAAGAGGAGAGTGAAATCTGTCTTTTCCCCTGAGAGCCCCTTATGTTTTATATCCAACAAGGATGACTGGTTTATACCTTCATAGACCTTCTGTTATATACTGAATTCAGTTTTTATTGTATTGTGCGTAGCTGACAGGAAAACCAAATTGGGTGAGGTCTCTGCAAGAACCCCTTTAACATGCTATGGGACAGCATACTGGGGACATGGACGTGTCTCCTTCCCTGACTCTTGCCCCTCAGTTATGCAGGCAAATATTGCCCTAGAAATATGACCACCCATTCAGGAAGAAAGACTTGGGCTCCAGGTATTTGTTTTTGTGAATTTCTTTCCTTTAATCTTCACATTTTTTTAAAAAAAAGATCTATTCCTCTCTTGGTAGAGATTAAAGAAAATACTCTAAAATTAATATGTCTTAGAGTAAGTTTCTCTGGCTTGTTCCAAATCAGTGAAGGAATGAAGGTCACTGGGAATGTGATTATAAAGGTCAGCATATTAGAAGATGCCCGAGCTTGACATAAAGAAATCACTTGTGAAGGGTGGCATTTACTGGTAACTACTGAAGGCGCATATCTGGGGCGTTGCCTTTCTTTCCGTTGTGATTAGAATAATTAAGTTTTGGTTTTTTTAAAAATCTCTTAGCACGTTACTTTTTTTTCCCAACTGGGTCAAGTAGCACTGTCTTTGGATCTAGAAGCAATTAGAAACAATTAACCTGAGGAATGGAGCTGTTTTCTGTCAGTAGGCATTCGTTCTATGTTTAGTTGGTGGAAGGTGTATTTAAAGACTCAAACCCTTTTTCCTTTCAGTAAATTTGAGGTGGCTTTGAAGATAGAAAGAAAATGGTCTTTGAAGATCAAAAAGAAAAAAAAAATCTACCAGGACATAATTCTTCTTCCCAAATAGGAAAGAAAATTATGACTAAAGGAATATAGTATAGTTTTCCCTCATAGTAATGGAAGAAAGCAAGCAACAGAGAAGGTCAGATGTGTTTCATGACTTTCAATCTAAGTGTCGTGATTCTTTGGTACCTGATGCTCCAGGACATCCCAAGTTTCACGGCTCCCCTTTTCCAGGCTGGGAGTTCACCTGAAAGCGACTTGCTGCTCTACCAACTTCGATTCTAAGATGTTGTCATAGTTAGATTGTTGAAACTGTGTTCAACGCTACCTCTGATTTGAGAAATCAGAAACCACGCTGTTTGTGCCACTTTCCCCCTTGAGCAAGTATTTCTTTTACCATTAGCGGATGCTTTGCTTATTCCTCCGGCTGCCACCAGGAGAAAGCATTTGTTCTTGTACCCTTGTACCTCCCCGCACCGCTCTGCCCCCCCAGTCTTCTAAAGAACAAAGTGGGAAAGGAGATGTCACAGGTCAAGGCAAGAGTGGCGTCTCCTGCGTGGTCTTTCATCTTCACCTCTCTTCCCCGCAGATGGTCGGCTGTGACTACGAGATCGATTCCAATGCCACAGAGGACCGCTGTGGAGTGTGCCTTGGAGATGGCTCTGCCTGCCAGACCGTGAGAAAGATGTTTAAACAGAAAGAAGGATCTGGTAATAAACAAACAAATAAATAATCAAAGTGGCAGGGGACTGAGAATGAGGACAAGATACATGATTGATTGATTCCTAGTTTTGTTTTTTTAAAACAGCTTGTGACTTTCAAAGTATTCAAAATGGAGTATTGCCCTCACTACAAAGGGGTAGGGAGTTCTTGGCAGTTTTAGGAAACTGAGCAAACTGAGCAAACACGGGAGGCATCACACTAACACAGAGATCTGCCATGGCCTCGTGGCTGCACATGGGAACAGGTACAGGAGTGTGATGCCTGAGTACAGGCATTACAAGAGGATCCAGGGCTAGAAGCCAATGATGTTAGAACAAAAAAAGAACTAGAGGGGAGAGGAAATCAAAAGCTCGCTTATAAGAGATCAAAAGCTGGTTGAGAAGTCTGCAGATACAAGGGCAGTTTCTAAGTGAGGGCAGAGAAGCCAGTGATGGGTTTAAAGTATTGGGGTGCAACTTCAGGGCCAAAAGAGAGGTGAGACAGGCTTGCTTCAGCTTTCTTTTATTCCCAGTTGCTCCCTGTAACAGGGTCCCCCCCAGTGGTTCCCTGTGACTATCCAGGCAGCTCCTCTATCCGGCATTCCCCACTTTACCCACACTCTACTGTTCTTTCCCCATGGTTACCCTTCATGAAGTTTCTTCTCTGGGCAGCTTTGAGCTACTCATGATCCTCAGGGAGTGGAGAGTCTACCCTTGCCCCAAATCGGTTATGACCTCATGCAGATTTGCCTTCAGTTCAAACAGTTCTCGTGGTCTCTTGGCACCGGCAATGATTTGTAGCTGGTGGGATCTTGGGAGAAAGGCCAAGGTAGGCCTGGGGACGATGAAGACGACTACAAGTACCTTGGTTTGAGCTTCCCCGGATATATCCTGAGACAAAAATTCAGCTACAAATATTAATAATTTATTTGGGGGTCAGGGGATCCTGGGAAGCACTAGTAGGACATTGGGGAAGTGAAACAGGGCAAGGAAGGTAACCAAGAAAGGGTGTTTCATTAAACCAGTGACCATGACATGGGAGCCAGCACAGAATTTGCACATCTGAGTTTTCCCACCCAAGCGATGAAGGAGTTGAAATGATATACACCACCTCCCATGAGACATGGGTTGAGGCTACTCCAGGGAGGTCAGGCTGTTAATTCTCTGGATTCCACAAAAATGCACATGGCTAGGAGTATGGAGCCCCACGTGTGTGGGGGGGCAGGGGGGGCAGTGTCTGCTACATAAGGGTGACGCCCAGGACAGGAAGTGATAGCCATCTTCAGAGACAGTGGAGCCACCTTCAGATATTTGTCCTGGGTCCAGCAAAGCTATGCCTCTCTCCTAGACATGCTTACTACTCAGGATGAAGTTACCAAGTAGGAGCCTACGAGTATCAGGTGTGTTCTTCAGTTGATTATATGACCTGTTATTCCCTAGTAAACATAACTGTGAATAATCTAAATTTGTTTAATTTCCATCTTCATTTTTTCGTCTTTGACTATTGAATTCCTAAGGTTAAATTGTGAAATGTAATGCTTGTCCTACCCTTTAGAATTATCATTGGAAACTTGTATATCATGTCCTTGATTGATAGCTTTACTGTGGATGAAAAATATCCTTTGAATTACTTATTAGGGATGTGAGTGATAACCCAGTGTGTCTTAAGCTTATGATTAAGCATCCTATGATAGCTTACGTTTCTTCGATCTTTACAAAGGTATTTTGTACATATTTCCATTATTTAGATGTGGCTTTATTTGCTTGACTTATAAAAAAGTCACACTTAAAAATCATATTTCTGCATTCGACCTGTTTTATTTCTTTATCTGTGGGGGTTTCTGTCTTTGGCCTTTGATAGACTGTGCCAGACTGGCTTTTCTTCTTGGAAAGCCAGAATTGTCATCCCCGGTCTCCTCCACTTAACCTTTTAATCCCTTAGGAAATCAGACTTTAGTGCTGGGTTCTTTTCTCTGTCCTGATCTCTTGGGGATGAGAAAAAGAGATCATAAGTGTGTCTTGAGCCTCCCTCCCACCCCTACATCTGCCTTGGGAATCTCAATACCTCTGGCCACATGCCCACCACTGAGCATTTGACATCTCCCTGTGCCTTTGTGTTTTCTCCCAGTCACTCCCCATAGGGCTTCGGTTGGCTTGTGGCACTCAGGGAGCTGTGTCTGCTTTAGACTGTTCATTCCCTGACAGGTTTCTCAAAGCTCCCAGGCACTGGCTTCTCTAGCACCCTGGAGAAACCCTCTGAGTGCTCACAATGGTCTGTGTTCCCTACACCCACGGGGCACTCTCCAGATCCCACCTTCACTTTGTATTCAATAAAGCCAGATACACCGTGAAGACCCTGGCTACACAAATGAGGCCAAGAAGTGCTGCAAAAATTGTGAAATGGAGTTAGATTGGATGGGGCTAGTCAATTAATATAAGGGCCAAGGTCAAAAGAGGGAACTTAACTTCCTCTCCTGGAAGACGCCCAAAATATATAGTTCTCTGTAATTATTTACATGCTGTCTTGTATTCCTGCCTTATTCCACCTTACATTTCATTCTTTTTCTCTAATGCAGTTATAAACTGAGGGTGGAAATTGTCTTGTAGGCTTTGTCTCCACTCTCCCCAACTCAAAATCACCAAACATAACCTGTATATATAGTAGGTATTCAATAAGTGCTCATATAAATTTAAGTGAAAAAAGTTTTCCTTAAGATTGAGTCCGTGTTCCTTTGATAATAAAGCATACCAAATCATTAACCATTCTATAGTTATGCTGAGGGAATAACTGAATCAGGCACTTTTCGCCTCATGTCTTGCCTGTGGTTGAGCTGTGTTGTTGTAACTCCCTTCCCTCTCAGCACACATCCCAAAGCATTCTTTTCTCCCATCTCTCCACCCAGAACTGTGGTTTCTGTGGTGGGTGGCAGCAGTTGTCCCAGGCAATCCATGTAATAACACCATCTCCCTGCTTAAGAGAGCACCTATTTGCCCTCAGGGGCCCATAGTTTGAGGTGGCTCCTTACAGAGGATTATTCCCAGATGTCTTGCAGCGAGCTGCGAGCTATGTGGAGGGATGTGATTGTTGAGAGATGGCTTTGTTTTTCCAGCACTTCTGCATCAAATCCCCACCGCCTTCTTATCTTTGTTCATAACCTTTACCATGGAAGAACCCAGTGTTTCCTTTCCAAGAGAAGTAAGCAACCAGTGGGCAACACCAGAAAACAACGCACTGGGGAAACAGGTGCAGATGAGCACTCACGGAAGAATAATCCCCGTGACTAGGAAATAATGGGAATGAATATGTGGTCAGCTGAGGCTGAACTTGTGTATCCAGTTTCTGGGCAAATTATTCCTGCTGGATGGGCCAGGGTTTGACTTCCAGGACCCCATAACTGTAGTGTCAGAGGGAGATGGAGCAGTCAAGGCACTTTCAGATGACAAAAACAACAGTCTTGCTTGTCAGGCCACAAAACCTAGTATATATCCAGTGTGAAATGCCCAGAATGATCAGGATCATAAAACTGTGTTTTGTATGAAGAAGATCGAGGAACAAGGAATGATTAGCTTAGAGAAAGCAAAATTATTGAATCTTAGAGCCGAGAGAGACCTCAAACTTCATCACTCAATCGCCTTCCTTGTGCAGATGAGATTGGAAAAAGTTAAATGAGGTAATGAAAGTAATAGAACTAATCTGTGGTAATGCAGAGACTAGAACACTGGTCTTCTGACCCCCCTGCCCCAGGAATCCTGTCAGTGACATCCCCAGAACCTGTGCTCTTTCCATCCTGTGAGGTGATGGTTCTTAAGGGCATAAATAAGATGAATGAATGAAGTGCTTAGCACAGAGCCTGGCAAACACTGGCAACCACTGAGTGTTCATTCCTTTTGTCACCAGTGTGCCTCCTGCCATAACAGCCATCAAGCAAGGATAAAACTGTGGCTAGTGTTATTATCATTTTGATATGTCTACGTATGCTTTTTCAGAAGGCTGGATTAGAATACATGAAAATAAATTATAAATTCATATTTTGACAAACCATAAAAGAAAAAATGAGAAAAAAAAAAAACCCTTTCTCATGAATAGAATTGTCCAACAGTATAAAAGGCTGTACTCAGAGCTGAGTGTCTCATCACAGGCTGTATTCAAGAGAGCCAGGTGGCAATCAACCCAAGTTTCCCTCCAGGATTTTCTTAATGAATAGAAGCTAGGATAAAATTACTTCTAAGAGTCTGTCTTTAACCTACTGGAAAGGGGGAAGAGTAAAATATATAATGTATCCTATGTGATTTTTAGGAAGACTAATCTGATAGTAGCAACAAATGGGGGAGCAGAAATTCTAGTAAGGAAGCTAGCTAGGAGCTTTAGGATTTTGAACCATCAATGTAAAATCACAGAAAAATAAATGCTGGATCAACCATAAAAGCTTCAGAGTCCAATCTGCATTTATTTCACCTCTCCTCACAAAACTGTTCACATGCTGAGTCATGAAGCTCCTTAGAATTCTGCTCTTGGCCAAGCTCTATTAAATTCTCCGTAATTAGTGTTTCTGCCAGTCCCAGTGGCCACCCAGCAAGGCCACTAAATGACGGGAATTCCGGAAGGAGGATGAGCAGTGGGCCAGAAACAGACCGTGTTCAGCTGAGAAGCTAGTGTCTCTTTCATCACTGTGTCTTCTCCCCTTAGGTTATGTTGACATCGCGCTCATTCCGAAAGGAGCAAGGGACATAAGGGTGATGGAAGTTGAGGGAGCTGGAAACTTCCTGGCTATCAGGAGTGAAGACCCTGAGAAATATTACCTCAATGGAGGATTTATTATCCAGTGGAATGGGAACTATAAGCTGGCAGGGACTGTCTTTCAGTATGACAGGAAAGGAGAGCTGGAGAAACTGATGGCCACAGGTCCTACCAATGAGTCGGTGTGGATCCAGGTAAGCGAAGGGAAAGAAACTGCTGGTATGTGCACTAGCTAGGATCTTTCTCCCTCCTCTTCCAAGGTATTTAGTAGGGTGTGTTGAGTAAGAATCTTTAAAATTTCTTTTAGCAAGGAAACAGGGAGGGGAGCAAAAGATCAGTTTGTGCTGTTAATCCTTTATTGCTGAAACCACCATAACAAAATGCCAGGGGCTCTAAAACCACCCATCAGCTTCCAGGCTGATGTATTTGAGGGTGATTGTTCCTCAAGGATATTGTCAGTGTGAACCAGTTTCTAAGCTTTCCAGAAGCTACTTGTAACTGACTGTTAACTGACGAACTAACGTGTTATCATATGTTGTCCTCAGGCAGAGGGTTTGACTTTGTGAACCCATTGGCGGAAGCATGGGTGAGAATGCAGTATGTGCTCTTCAAAGGCAGCAGGAACTTGTCTCTCATATTAGGCACAAAACTGTAAGAAAGGAGTAGAATGATTCTACCAGTAGAGGCAAGGCAGTTTGGGGGTGACAGATGGCCTAAGAGAGTCAGATCTAGCCACATTCAAAAGTTAAAGGGAGGTCATTTCCAAGCCAGAGATCAGAGTACTCACAGAAGCTGGAGACCAAGCTGGCAGCTATGCTCCATGAATGTCAGGAGACCTCACATCTGACCTGGCCACAGGGGCAAGGTTTTACATATGGGAACCCCCAGGTCCAGAGAGCAACTGTTCCACTGCCTCTAAATTTGAGATGAATCCATTTTAAATTCATCTCACATTCATGTGAGATGAATCCATTTTAAGATTGTCTGCAGGAGAGGAAAGTGAGGGGAAGGTCCCAGGAGTGACCCACCTTAGCTAAAACCCTTAACCATTTTTTTCCCAGAAATACAATATGTTAAAGGAACTAACAGCCCAAGAGCTAGGGAAGAGCATGAGATAACACCACACATAATAAAAATTAACATCCATTGAGTGCTAACTCCATGTCAGGCATTGTTCTAATCACTTTATGTGTATTTACTCGTTTCACTCTCACAATAATTCTAGCAGTAGGTACTATCATTACCCTCACTTTGTATATTGGCAAAGGATGGCACTTACCTATAGTCACAAAGTTAGTAAGTATATAAGCCGGTAAGGTGACCTACCTGCCTATTGTTGGAAAGGACACTCTTGATCGTTCCCTCAGAGCAGTCCCCATATGATTAGCCCTCCTGTTTCCATGAACTGAAATTCCCATGGGAATCCGGCCAAGAAATAATAGAATGGAGAATATAGAGATATAGATACAGAAGTGGAGATAGATATACAGATACAAATATAGGTGTAGATATAGAGAAGTAGACATAGACATAGATCCGTTTAATGGCATTTGTTCCAATGCATGCTCCCATAACTACTTTTAGATGATGGACATTGTGTGATGTTTTTGCATGACTGTGGTTTATGGTATAAAGTACGACAGAGTTTGATGTGACCTCTCTCTTGCCTTTCAGCTCCTATTCCAAGTGACTAACCCTGGCATCAAGTATGAGTACACAATCCGGAAAGATGGCCTTGACAATGACGTGGAGCACCTGATGTACTTCTGGCAGTATGGCCGCTGGACAGAGTGCAGTGTGACCTGTGGGACAGGTGAGAAACAGCTGCTCTCACTGGGAATGCACGTCAGCTTCCGTGCGGGCCACAGGGGTGATCTGAGCCAGTGGTTTGTACTCAGTGCCCATGGGTCTGCAGAGTTCCACGGAAATGGAGAGATGGCCCTGGGGCCTCTGTGGACAGTGAATGCACAGGGGCATGGTTTAAAGGGAGAAGTAGTTTTTCTTTTGTGAGCTTTATGTACCTGCCCTCATGAAAGATTTTGTTTGAAGAAAGGGTTACATGTCAAACAAAAAGGCTCAAAAAACACTTCTCTCGTTGAGGACTGGGGGCTACAAAAGTGGAAAAACCTGCCCAGATACATACTATAAGTCATGGTCAAATCCAAACCCCAACCAGCTCTTCTGATTCCTAGCCCAGGGTTCTTTCTCCATCTCCAATTTATCAATTTTTTATATCTACTGGGAGAGTTTAGGTTTATCACACGGAATCAAGCATTGGAAAGATGCACTCGCTGCCAAGTATCAGTCAGGATGGGATAGGCTTTGCTACCATAACAAAGAAATGGAAATCCTAGTAAGTCAACACAATGAAAGTTGATTTTTAACCCATCACTGTGTGTCTGAAGCAGGTTGGAAGGCCCTGCTTCATCTTCTAGCTAAGACTTCTTTATCGCATGGCTTCCAGCTTGCCCCGTAAGGAAAGAGAGATGAAAGAGGCAGACTGGCTCTGTTGACAGCCTTGGCCTGGAAGTGACAAATCACTTCCGCATACATCTCACTGGATAACCTCAGTCACATGAGCACAGTCTAACTGCAAAGGGAGGCTGGGAAATATGGAGGTGTGTGTGGACGTTTGGGAAGCACAGACTCGCTCTGCCGCAGGCTAAATGAATTTTCCCAAGGCCGATGAAGGCAGAGGTTAGGACCTGTTGGGTACTGGGGCTCTGTCACTCATTTAGGGGGATTTAATAATGGCACCATATGTGAAAGCCTCTGCCGCTGTTTCTCCTTTTGGATCAAGTCAAAGTCTGTCATGGAACTTTTTGCTTCTTACCTGTAACTACTGCCTATAAAACTAGGGCAGCTACAGGGTGAAGTGCCAGAACTGGTGATGTAGCAAAGGGAGTAACAGTGAAGCAGTGAAAGAGCTAGAAGACCACGGTCTACTCTTCCAGGGGCTTCCTCCTCACACACTTGGTCTCTCTCTGCACCGCCTGTTCTCTGGCTTCCTCACCCTCAGCAGGTAGCTGTGCAAAGAGATCTAGAAGTTGCATCATGCACTGTCAAACTTACAATTTTTGTATTATTAACTTCTTTCTTTCCTTACTTTGGCACAGAAAGCCAAAGTTAGCTTCTAGAATTTATGAGAATAAAATGTTCATTTTAAAACGTGCTATTTTGAGATGCTATACCTCTGAAAATTTATCTAGGTGGAAGGTGCAGTGTGTGGCAGCAGCCATAATTGGTGTTGGTGGGAGAGCCAGTGCTGCAATTCCCAGGGCTACCTCTAGCATTTCTAAGCGTACTGTCCACTGTTGCTTGGGGGGTTACTAGACTTACAATTAAGCAAAGGCAATTTAGGCAGAAAATAAGTGGGTGAACAAACTTTCCCTAAGGAGCAATGGAAGGAAAATGAAGTCACTGTGACTGTAGTTACAAATACTTTGTCAATTTTTCATCTTCTGTGTTCTCATCTTTCAATGAAATGTGAATTTAAGCTCTAAGCTTCAATCATTTGTCCCAGGACACCATGGACTCAAACTGAACCAGCACTGACTGGGCAGGGACTCCCGGAAACAGGAGAACATCCTCCACTCTTTTCTATTGCAAGATAGGATGAGCTCTGTGCATTACACGTACTATATTTCAGAGCATCAGGAATCGAGAGATAAGTGGCTGATTTGTGCAGTGATCATAAAGACACATCTGAAGTTAGCTAGGAAATCAAACACTCTTACCACATAGGAATCAGACATTTCATTTTGTTGTAGCCTGAACCTTCAGCAGCACCTCTACCTGGGTAAATGTCATTCTGATTATTAAGCCTTAATGGGAATGATCAAAGTGCTCACATGCTCACCTGAACTTCAGCCACACTGCCTATTTGAGTGATGCAGACTTTTCTTGCTCTGGCAAAGGAAGATAGCATATCTACTTAAATACTCTCAAACACAGAGGATGAAATTGCTAATATTGACACAGGACACACATTGCTCAATATAAAGATGAAAGACTGACTAAAACACTGAATCATTCAAGTGATGGATTTTTATTTTCTTTAAGTTGAAACTTTCTATGTTGTAAAAATAAGTTAAACACATTACTAAAAAATGAAAAATAAAGTCACCACCCTAACACATGTATTTTCGCTGCTTCAATTTTTTTCCTTTCAATTTTTTTTCCTTCCATCTAATCATAGATGTATACAGTTGTATGCATATGGATGTATTGATGTACACATACACACATATGTCTTCATTTATCATAACAGGGATAGTTTTTCATGTGTTATGCAGTCTTTGTAACTATAATTTTTAAGGAGGCATTTTATTCTCTGAAAAGACAACATTTCCTTAGCCAATTCCTTGTTGCCATTCTTCTGATGAGCATCTTTGGGTCCATGTAAAAAATGATATCCCTAGTTTTAATTTCTATGTGGAATTTCCAGGTTCGAAGAATATAAATATTATGATAATGTTAAGGAACTTATTACCAAATTGATTTCCATAGTAAAAGGGTTACAAATAGATAGTAACATTTTATTTTTTAAATTGTTGTATTATTTTAGTTTTATACTTTTTTACTGGGAAACATTTTAAACATACCAGCAAAACAGAGAATGTAGTAACAAATTCTGAACCCAACTCCACTTCCTTTGCTTTTCCAAAACACATAGTTAACTAGGGTCGGTGAAACCAGTGTTTATTACTCTCATGTTTATTGTTAATTATGTTTATTATACATGTGTGTAGACATATTATATAGTATTGTTTGTCAGGCGTTTAAGCTTTCTATAAATAGTATCATACTCAATGTATCATTCTTATCTTGCTTCTTTTATTCAACATTAGGCTTTTGAGATAAATCCACACTGATCAAAGGAGCTCTAGTACATTCATTGTAAGGGTTGCATACTATTCCATTGTATGAATATATCACAATTTATTTATACATTCTACTATTTTGCATTAAATATATTTCTGCAATGGCACCGGGGACTGTTTCCATGAAAGACAATTTTTCCATGGACCGGGGTGTTGGGGGATGGGGGTGGTTTGGGGGAATGATTCAAGTTCATTACATTTATTGTGCACTTTATTTCTATTATTATTCCATTGTAATATATAACAAAATAATTATACAACTTGCCATAGGTTGGTGACCCCTGCTGTAATGAACACCTTGTAATTATTGCCATATTACCTCAATATTTGAACTTCTTTAATATGTATACTTAGAAGTAAAATTCCTGGACCATACAGTCTGTGCATATTGTAGGAGTAAATCAGTAAACTCATAGAGGCGCCGTGGAATATTTGTAATTTTCCAGGCAAACAGAAATTTTAAAGGCAAACAGCTATACTTAACATCTCTTGGACATCATGCGAACTACTATCTCAAGGTAGTTCAAGGTTAGGTCACATAATATTCCTTTCAATGACATCCTATCTTTATTAAACTGCTTTTTCAGTGGTTGCTGTGATTAAAAAATCAAGTACCACCTGAAAATCTATGCAGAACAGGAAATATGGTATCCAGTGTCATTCCAAGATTTGAAAAGTTGTACAATAGCCAATAGATGCACACATCTCATTAGCATTAATAAGTTAATTTAAAATGAAACAAATATTATTTTGTCTTTCAATTTTTATGTATTATTTTTTCAGATGACTACTGAGTTGTTAGGCCATAAATACTTACTAAGTTGGGACCTAACTATTTAATTAATGGAGCTGTTAAATGTTTTATTTGGCCTGAAGGCACCATGAAAAAATTACTGAGATGCTAAGAGCACTGTGAACTGAGAAAGTTAGAAGCCTCTGTTCTAGTGTTTGGCTTGTCTTTTAAACTTTGTTTATGTTGTCTTATTTACATGAAGCAGAACTCATATTAAGCAGAAATGTTAGATTTTGATATAATCAGTTTTATCAATTTTCCCTTTATTGTTTGTGCTCTTAGTATCTTAACTAAAACTACTTTTCTATCTCAAAGTCATAAAGATGGGATCCTATATTTTCTTCTAAAAGTTTTAAAATTTTGAATCTCACATAAGGAGTTTAACCCACCTAAATTTACTTTTATGTGTGGTATAAAGTAGACATCTAATTTCCTTATGAGTGAGATCAATTATTCCAACCACATTTATAGAATAGGATATCCCCTCCTCATGGGCATTTTTTTAAAGCTGTTATCATTTTGACATCTTCTTATTTTTTAAAAAAATGCTAAAAATGTGATAAAACCAATGTGGATGGCTATAATCGAACTTGACAATATCTACATGAAGGAAATGCCAAAAACACTATACGGTATTTAGAAATAAATGCTCTCATCCCACCCCATTTACATACTTAGATTAAAAGTGTGCACATCCTAGTAGCTGTTTCTAGCTTCTTAGTCCCTTGGCTGCTTTTTGACTGGATTTCCTTGAGCAGGTTCCAGGCTCGTCACCACAGCCAGGGTTTGTTAATGGTCACCACTGGTCCTACATTAAATAGGAGATCATGGCTAAGCTCATAACTCACCTGCCTTTCTGACTGATCACTGCGATGCTCTCTGTGGCCACTTATCATTCGGGCTCCTTTGGGAGAGTGCTCCTTTTTGTCTGTACCTTCAGGTAGAATTGGTTTGGTTTCTTCTTGTTCCTGGAGTTACATGTGAAAAGACAGTTCAGTGTGGCTTCTATAGAGGGGCCGTGTGATGCTTTGCCTATGCAGCTAACACCAAACTCACTGTGTCCTTTCTGCTGGAACTCTAAGTATGATATGTGGTGATTCTCTCTTATTCTCCTTTTCCCACTCAGTTTTATAAGCA